AGTGTGTTAAAAATTCAGATGGAAAGCCTTAATAGTTTGCAATGATTTTCATGCAACTTGGTGAAAGTATGTAGTTTTACCACCTGCATTCGGAAGTAGTGAGAAGCAGCTTCATGAAAATGAATATATTTTTTGATTATAGTTGACGTTACGTGTACGAGATCAAGCTGTGCCACCTAAATCTGACATAGGAACAATGTTAATAACATTAGTACGTAATATCAACCCACCAAGATTTGCTGCTTTAAACTATAATGGAACAGTAGATACAACATGGCAGATTGGTCGAGTCATTTTCAACGTTTCTGCTTTCGATGAGGATAGAAATGTTCCCCTCAATCGAGATGTAAGTTTTATATTCTTTTTTTTTTTAGTAAAAATTTGATAGCAGTAATTATAGGTCTAGTTTCTCAAAATATCCTTACATTTTGTCTGAATTTTAATATGGAATTAAATAAAATGATTGTAAGACTCTTTGAGAAACAGACGACAATCGTTTACAATGAATTTTTATTCGCCCACATCGGCCTATCCGTCCGTCTGTCCACAATTGGCTTGTGAACGCGATAGAGACTACAGTTTTCATCTGATTTGAATGAAATTTGGTATGATCATTTATAATGATAAGATCTTAGTCAAGATTAAATTTGACAATTTTTCGATCATTGCCCATGACTTAGTAAAAACGCATCAAAATTTGTTAGCGTTAGAGGTGACAGTTTATGTCAGAATTTTATTGAATAATGTGTGTTTGTTTAAATCAACAATATCTTGCACAAATTAAATTTTTGGTATGATTTGACACAGATAGGTGACTGCCCATGATATACAGAAAATGTATCAAGAAAGTAGGCGTATCTTGCTAGGCAACCACTTCTTTGAGTCTAACAGATCCGTTCAAACAAATATTTTTGAAGGTTCAGGTTCAAACAAATATTTTTGAAGGTTCAGCAAGAGGCAACTGATATATTAGCAAATTGAATAAGTTATAGTGGTAAAATTTTCTGTCCTTTGCATCAAAATGAATTGAAAATTTAACGAAAATATCAACATTTTATAGCTAATAATATTTAAGAACAATATATAATTGACAATTTAAATTTCTTTCCTTTTTCAGACCCTAAATGCTCTGTTTGATTATTATATTGATCCAAATGATGCTAAAGCTAATCAATATTTTGGTGTAAATGAGAATGGTATAGTATATGTAAAAGATAGTTTATTGAATATAGATCAGTCAGAATTTCAGGTAAAAAACATATTATTACTATCTATACATATAATGTATTGTAAACCATTCATTGGTGGATTTGATTGTTGATCTTTTCAATTTAAGCAGTATCACATTACATTGTTGATCTATGAATAGTACAAGCTTACTGAGCTCATTACATGCTGTTGTACACAAGTTTACTAGGACAGTTGAAAATAGGGAGTTAGAATATAGGCTAAACTTCTTTTAATTTCATTTTCAGTTTTATATTGTGGCAACTGATAGGAGTTGGGCTCCATTAAGTAGTAGAGTGCCAGTAACAATCAGTGTGGTACCAGTCAAACTTCCAGCTAATAAACTTGGTTTTATACAACCAATCAAATTGTAAGTTATTCCATATTACAGCATCCTTCAGTGTTTTTAAAACCTGTGTCTCACTAGACAGAATTCTAATTCACAAGAAAAGTGTTGAAGCTTTAATGGTCACTTTCATTGGAACAATCTATTTTGCAATTTTGGACAAATTATTTACATATTTTGTTATGATTGTTTTTGCGGCATATTGATTACTTCTTAGCCCCATACATTATAATGATCTATGAATCAAAAGGTTTGGAAATAATAGATTACCAATTCGCATTCAATTAATACCAATATTTTGGAATTATATTTCAGTGTTGAAGTTCCTGAGACAATAGCTGTATCTACCAATCCTGATGATTATCCTCTACTAACTACAATAGAAATAGCTAATAATAATAAGCAGTCAATACAATGTGTTATACTTACTATTAATGGTATTGAGAACTACCCTAATAGTCCCTTCTTAGTACGACCAAATCAACAGAATACAGCTTGTAATTTATATCTGACCAGAAATCTGGATAGAGAAACAGTATCTAAATATAATGTATCAGTTGGTATACGATTTGCACCCATTACTAAACGTGATGTTATTATTAGTAAGTATATTCTATTTATCTATAATGATTTTATGTGAGTCGCCTCTATAAACCCATACTTACTAAGCTGAAGGTCAATCTTACAATTCATTTTAAGTATGATATTTCTCAATGTAAAATTGTCCTTTTAAAATGGATTTACAATCCAGATGTGTGTTGAAAATGCAGGTAAAAATCAAATTCAAAAATATTAGATGTTTCTTTTAAAGTTGAAACTTGATTTTCAGATCCCAATACATGGGAAATAGTGAATGTTATTGTCACGGTGAATGATGTCAATGATGAAACACCAACCTTTAATGTAACCAAACCACCATCAGTAGTCGCTGATAGACGTGTTATACTACTAGCTGTGGACTATTTTACCAAACCGTTTACTAAGATTGGTGAACTCCAGGTAATATTGGTGTCACATTGTTTTAAAATCGACAGACATATAGAACAGTCATGTCTTGCTTAACTCTGCATGACTCTACTATGACTTGATAATAGGCAATATGTTTCATTAGAAGTGATATGAAAATATTTCTCCTCATACAATCCTTTGATTATTTATCAAAACTACTAACAATATGGATATGATGACTTGCTCGAATATTTTGATAATAATGTTCAAGATATGATTTATTAACTATAGGCAATGGATGGAGATAGTGGTCCAAATGGTGAAATAGAATATGAAATGGTGTCAACAGAAGGAATGCCATTATCAGTTAATCCTACAGATGGAACATTGATCACAACCCGTCATTTTGTCAATGCACCAAATAATCGACAGTATAGATTTAACGTTATAGCCAGAGATAAACCAGTTAATGCCAGCCTCTCTCGTTCCTCAACTGTTTTAGTTGTGGTAAGATTTCTGCCTTTTGCTCATATCTGCACAGGATACGAGCATAGCCTAAGATATTTCAGATGGTTTCAATAATGATTTTATCATTCAAAAAGACCAGGATTCTTGAAAATTATCATGCTATGAATTTTTGTAGTTATTTTCCTGAGTATTTCCTACAAAATTGGAAAAAGGATATTTTTTATTAGACACCCAATTGCAAAAGACAATCTTCCCTTAGATCTTACTGATGCTGTATGAAATTATCTCTAAATTTAAACTTTTAACATGAATTGATCACGTGTTTTGTGCTCTATTCTAGCCTTAATAAATTGCCATGCCCTAATTAATGGAAATTTAAAATTAAGTTGAATTTTTTTTTTATATTTCAGGTGAATTTGATTGAGAGTAAAAATCGGTTTGTTTTTACAGTCATGAATAAAGCACCTACTGTGGTTCAAGAACAGTTAGATGAAATGATAACAACTATGCAAGAAGCTTTAAATGCATTTGTATTTGTTGAGAAAGTACAACCTAGAGAATTTTTGACTTCTGCAAATGAAGTAGATGTAGACTATGAAAGGTAAATAGTGTGCTATTGTAATCTTTTGATTTGTATATTTCTGCATCTTCACAATGTCAAGCTATTACAAACTTATACCTAGACTACAATAGGGAATAAAGTAATTCAGAATCCTAAACAGGAAGTATAATAAGTCATAATGTTTACAGTGTGTCTGTAAATTGCAGTCAAGGTATAAAACAAAGTTTGTAATGGCATAACACTGTGAAGATGTGGCTTCTGTAACTTACATGATACAAATGTGAGTGCCTATTGTTAAACTATGATTTTTACTGGGTACATTTGATATCAGAAGGAAACAGATAGATTGAACTAGATAATACATCTAATGCATTTTATATAACAAAAAAAAAACCAGCAGTTATATATTAATGTGATATTTTCAGTACTGATATTGTACTAGTGGTAGCTAGAAGTGATGATTTAGTACTCTATGATAACGCTAATCTTAAAATGTAAGTAGAATATCTATTTGTTGATTTTTAAGTTCATATTGTCAATATAGGATTGTCCAGAAACTTCAATTATACAAAATGTTAAAAAACATTGTATCTGAAATGATAGAAAGAAAGAACAAAGATAACAACTTAGGTTCACAAAGAACCTGTTTACCAGATGGTCCTTGGTCTGGTCTGGTTACTGATCTTTCCAAGATAATCTGTACCCATTTTCTTGATCGACTACAAAGGAAAGATTACGTATTCAAGGTCACCAGACTTTAAAGTGTAAAGTTTTTTATTTCACCTGTATTCTTTGCATTCCAGTTTAACAGCAGAAGATACTGATGAATCAAGAGATATATTAGATAAACTAAGTAATATACAGGGATTGAAGGTTGAAAGTGTTAAAAAACCTATTGATGAAACAGTTATCACTGGATACTCTGATAGATTTGTACGAAATAGAGTGGCATTTACTAAACAGAAATCACATGTATGGTGGCAGGATAACCCATGGATAGGTTTGATAGCTATAGCTGGTGTCATTATTGTGTTTGGAATTGGTGCTGTTATTTTATTCAATACTAAATGGAAAAAGTGAGTTGTCTTTTTTTCTGACATTATGTGGAACTGGTAGACAACCTACATCCTGGCAGAATGATTTGGAATTTTTTGAATGGGAATTCCACACTGTATAGTCTAGCAGACAACAAAATAATTCAATACAATTAGATAGAAAAGAATCAGAAAAAAAAGACACAAAAATTGTAATCTAATTTTAATAAAATTGGTGTCAATCCAGCCATTTTTAGCAGTCTGGTTATAATCTAAACAAGGACAATAGATCATCTTATTGTTTGGTATGTTTTAGTATAGTGCTCTCAAATTACAACAAATAACATGATCAATATTATTCTGCAAAATGCTATTTGTTGACATGTTTTTGTATGACTTGTGTTTATTTGTCCAGGTATATTGGTTACCTTCAAAGATACCAACTGTACCAAGCTGCCATGTCCAGACCTCATTTCCATGAACAGCCAAGTTATATGAGAGATTATGAGAACCAGAGTATGAGTATGTTTTTACCACCAGATGAAAATGTGCAGGAACTAGGGGAGATAAATATGGGTTTTGACAGTACGATAAATAGAGGACCACAACGGAGACCACCTGTAGATGACCCTGTCTTTGCACCGTAATTAACTCTAATTAATTCTCTAAATTTCTCTTTTTATGTATATTGCTGCCATTTATAGCTTCTAGTTGCATCATTCCAATTCCAAGTTTAATGCCTGTGGCTCCTGAAGTGTAAGAAATGCTAAGCCAAGTATGACAGCAATATCACAATAGCGCCTTATATTATCAGTTATATTTTCTAAAGGCTTTCCGCTTAGTTTTAGTGAAATTGCCAGACCTGCAGATGTCCTTCTGAAAATTGGAATGGTGTAAGAACTTTTTTACAAACCTTTTCATGTGACAATGTCTATTTTCCTGCCATATTCAGTGAAAAACAGTTGGTTTATCACTTCTTAGACTAACTCTGAATAAAATAAACTGAACTGTTTGTGTTTTGAATCAATTTCAGAGCTGAGCCAACAGAACCATCAACCGAGGCTACTGAAATAAATACAGCAACTGAACAATAGATACCTTCTCTAACAGTATCTTCTACTTACATTATATATTTTACACTAACATAATTGCTCATTTTGTATTTTTTGATAAATTTTCCATTTTTTTTTTCTATTTTTGTCACATCTTCCCAAAATATTACAATTTTACATTTTTGAATTTAAATTGTTTTTTGTTTTGTTTTGAATCTCAAATATGTGTATTTTCTATAAATGTTGCATTTTCAAATTGTTATATCTCTGTTGAATTTAGAATATATATATTTTTATTTGTTAATTTGTTCAAATATTTATGTATATTTTATTGTATTGCAATAGTTAAAAATCAAAATCATATTTTTTTAAATAAATCTGAACACTTATTTTTCAAACAGAACTTCTTTTTTGATAATTGGTTTTCGTATTGGAGTTTGAAATCTGTTATTGCAAAATCAATATCAATATATTTTTTGTAAAAATTAAATCTAGTGATCAATGAGTCCGAATCAAAATCAATTAAATTTGTTATGAAATAATTTTATTATAGTCTATTGTTATTAAAGTTGAAATTTCATACATTCCAAATATTTTATTGTTAGTTATACAATTTTTACACAAATTCTACAAATTAGGTTGTTATATTATATTCATATCATATATTTTTTTTTAACAAGATACTATCATAATCCTTTTTCTAATAAAATTTATTTCTTTAAACTTTTTTTTTACCTCTGATATCTTCTATATGAGTGTTCTGAAATGTGATTTAAACTAATGTTTCAAAAACAAAATCACTGCAAATTATTTTATTTTATTATTATAAATCCTGTCATGGAAGTCAATCTTTCTGGTGGCTACATATCAATATTTCTATCAAGGAAAATACCCCAAACCCTACAAAATACCCCACAGCCCACAAAATACCCCACAGCCCACAAGACATCTTATGAATCCACCTCACTTTGTCCCCATATGCTAAAGATAGAAGAATTGTTCATGTGGACAAAAGGTCATTTAAAGTTGCTTATTTTATCAGCAAAATATAGATACTAGCTACTTATTACTAAATTTCTGTCTCTTATTGAGCTAATGAAGTCTATACTGGGTATTAGCCAAGATAATTTATAGTTTAATTAGTGTAGGGTCTATAAGATTATAATTAGTATATAAAGTAATTATTAGTATATAAAATATTACTGGTAACAATTACATAATTGATATTTTGATCATTTTGCTGTATGTTCTGATGTAACTTGTTCAAATTACTTGATTACACAACTACACACATTCTTATACAATTCAATCAACTTGTTTTGAATTAAACTTCAAAGTGAATTTCATCTACACACAAATAGAACACTAAACAATTCCAATAAAATGCTGATATTATTGCAATGTGTAATTTGATTTCTGAGTTCTGGTTTGATTTAGATTATTATATCTAAACTTCATCATTGCCATTTTGTAGATTATATCAGACATGACTGGTAAATACAGCAAAATGAAAAGTCCTGCAGGTCTTTCGTATCGTATCAATCGTCGAATCAGTAATAGTGTTCACAGTCAGAAATTTGTTCTCTAGTACTTCAGAAGACTATTTACATCCAAGACTCAAATAACCCCCCTCCCCCCCAAAATGGTGCACCTGGCCCTTTAAACTGTCAAAATGTGTTTCCCCTGGACTACCAGGTAATTGAAAGTAGATACACATGGTAATTGCTATTGTATGAAGTTAATGATAGAGAGAAATAAGTATGAAATTTTCACAAGGGAACCTAACTGTTTAATATAACATTTCTAAACTAGTTCACCTTTACAATTATAGGTCTATATCAGTTCCTATCTGTATACTGTTGGTAAAGGAACATGAGATCTATTTAGAATGAAGAGGGTTTGACTCAGTCATTCACAAACTCATTTGTATTCACACGTACTCACATGTATTTCAATTTCTGGTTAGCAATCATTTCTGTAGAGGGATCAGATCACACATCTGAGAATATATTCAATCAGACACACTAAAAATAAAATTTTGGTGAAATGTGCAAGAAAATAATATAAATTTTTGAACTGTAATGCTTTTCTTATTCATCTTAATGACCAAAACTTAAAGGGACAGATGCGCCATTTTGGGGGTTGATTTGAGTCTTGAATATATGTAAATAGTCTTCAAAAGTACTAGAAATGTACAAATTTCACATAATTCCTTAAAAATACTTCAAACTAGGAATTTAACTAACTATTTCTATATATATGTCTTTTCTATCACAGAGTATCTTAAAATGACAACTCACAAGTCGTTGTGTTAACTTTCAAACAAGGATAATTCTGGATACACATGGATTTAATGGCTCAAATTTCGACAGTGAGCTGTGAGCACTAATATTAGCTAAAAAAAAATTCTTACTTCTGAGACTAAGGTAGGATTGCTCAAAAAAATGGAGCATCTGTCCCTTTAAGTAACAACTAACTATATCAAACCAATCATAATCACTAGACTAGGCCTATAAACAAATATTTATCTTACTTAGCTAGAATAATCTGGATTAATAGATTACAAGTTTATCAGATATTACTAGGTTATTTATCAAAGTTTACCTTACTTCTTGATAATAATTGTTGAAATGTAGGCCTAATTGTAGCTAATGGTAGGCCTACCGGTACGGTATCGTACTTAAAAAATAAATATTTTGGAAATTGTGGTACAGTATCCCTTTTAAGTCGAATTGGCAAACAGAAACCTTAAATAGGGGCAGATTAATAATTTATCACATTCATTCATGTAATCAGGGATTTAAATAACTACGAAAATATGTTTAATGAGTTGAAAGCATAGATGTATAATAACTCTATGGTGGACAGCAGCTGTCAATGTCACGTGATGTCCTAAAATAGTAACATTATCACATGGTTTCTACTACGTCAGTGATGATTCCACAACAAGACGTAACAGAGCGGAACGATTTAATTGATTACTTGTAATCTGCCTACCAGCTCGTTACATTTTAACAACCTTATATAGCGGTTGACTGTTGTAGGTCATATAAACCATAATTACATATTTTTGTGACTTGGTGTTTTGGAAGGTTGCCGAGTTTTGTCTTTGTTGACATTGGAATTGCCAGCTAATTATCTCTATCCTCAGTCAACTTTCGATTTATATGGTACTGCTCAGTTATTGCATGCAGTCATTTACTGCATAATTACTGTTGCATTCACTGCCAAACTCCTATTATATTGAGTGATGGAGGGATTAACCAAGAATGAAACCATAGACTTGAGACGGATGCATATTGGGTAAGTTTATACTGAAATAAAAACAAGTTAACAAGTGAACCATTTGATTGGCATTAAGTATCAATGGTTTTATTGTATCTTAGATATATAGGCATAGGTTATATAATGCACATAGGTTATATTATATTGGCACGCTCATTTACACTGATATCCCCAAATAAGCTTTTGGATTAGAGAAGAATGCTCTTAACAGATTGTTCAGGTCATTTTCTATTTCCACTGTGCAATCATATGATCAAAAGTCCATTACCAGGGAGTCTATAATGCATCAAGACACTCTCACTCTCAGAACATGTAAGGCATTATTGTCACCTTGGTAGATTGATTTCTAGAAAAATTCAGAATCATGTTTTATTATCTAGTCTGATAAAATTGCTCTATTCTACCTTCTGTGAGATAAAGGCTGGAGTAAAGTTATATGTTTTATTTTTCACACCCGAAGATGCGTTTTTTCTTACTTAATATTATTTTACTTTTATGATGACTTTAAATTAATGTTACCATAGCTCACCTTTGTTAGTATTACATGAATCTTAAACTTTTTGCTGCACTGTTGGAGAGACCATTTTCATTAAAGAAAAAGTTGATGGAACTGCAGACGTGACATAAACGGTGTAGGGGGATTATAATGGTATGACTGAACTAAGAAAATATCCATCTTTTTTCCATCTTAAATAAATATGTTTAAATATACCCATAAGACAGGGCTTAGTTTTTCTGTCTCTACACCAGTCTACTATTTTCACAATAGAGGGAAATGTTTCTGTCTAGCAAGCATCTAGCTTACTGGTTCAAGGTGGAAGTTGAGTTTGTTTCTTTTTGCGAAGTGTTACTATTTCAAAAATTGTATTCATGCAAAATAATGAATTGACATAAAAAAAATGAAAGCTACTTTAGTACTTTATAGTACAGTACATATTGTCAAGATCTTTCAAGAAAAAGTTTTTAAGTCAGTCTGTTAGGGATTTTTTTAGCAAATCACGTCTTAGCCCTGTACGCTAAATTAAGATTCATATATTGCTGAATGAATGGTAAAGGTGTAGATGTCTAACATACAGGTATCCTAAAAAATTTTTTTGTTTAGAAAGAAAAAACTTATCAACTTGTTTTGTTAAACTCCAGAATAATAGCCATTGATATTTCTATACAGAGGTTATTTATTCTGAAACATGACAATTTTATTATTATTATCATTATATAGGAAAATATAGTATTTTGGTAGGTCTTATTACTTTTAGTATATAAGCTTACATAAATCTACCACAATGTAATGTTCAAACCAATGAATAGGCCTACATGTATTTTGAGAACTCAACTGTCACTGACCTGACATTTCTCATTTAAAACTGTCAAAATATTTACATTATTGTCCTTTAAAGGGCGAGTTTGTGTGAATACTGTTTCCCAATTGCTGTCTCCAAATCTTTTAATAAAAAAAAGGTTCTTTATGAAATTCATAAAGCAGTTACCGTATTTGATTATATCAAATGTCAGATTCAAATTATATAAAATGTATCAGATTCAAATTATATCAATTATATCAGATAATAATAATATTTTTTTCACTGTTGAATAGTGCTCAATACATCAAATGTAGATCAATACAAAAATACATTAACAGATTCAGTTTATATCAAAAATATTATATTCAGATTATATAGATATATCAAATTCAGATGGTATAATAATATCAGTTTCAGGTTGTATCAAATATATCAGATTCAGATTATATTAAATGTATCGGATTCAGATTATATAAATATTAACAGATTCAGATTATATCAAATATATCAGATTGTATATCAGATTATTCCCCTAAAATGGGATTCAGATTATTTCAAATATGAAATTATTCCAAATAAACAGAAGATGTAGGATATAAATCAGATTCAGATTATATAAAATATAACAGATTAAAAAATATATATCAGTTTAGCCCTATATCAAATAAATCAGATTATACAGCAAATATGAGATTAAATCAAATATAAGCTAAATCAAGTTTTGTGTTTCTATTAGAAATCAGATATACAGAGAAGTAAAATAAAACATGTGAAAGATAAAGTTACTATAATTAAATTGTAAGGAAATTATCTGGTCACACTGACATCTTGAAATAATTGAAATCTTAAAATAGACAATAGTTATCTTAGATCTTTTCTCTTCCAATTATTTTGATATCATTTTAAATCTTCCTTTTAATAATCTGTAATAAAACTTATGATCTGTAACAATCTTACTTTTTATACGTGTGATCTCTTTAAGCAGTGGTTCCCAACCTCTTTCATTTATTCTCAAATCAAATCATTAAAACCCCTCTCACACAAAAAACATTGGGCTTTCAAAACATTGTAAATTTTGTTATTTCTCATTTAAGCTAAACAGAATACTGCCAAATTTCCCAACTGTGCTAGGTTCCGTTGTCATGTCTGTTATACTTCCATCAATTGAAAAACATCGCATTTCCTGAAACCATATTGATCCTCAAAGATAAATTCTTCTCCTACAACAGTTGGACACACCCCAGACACCTCAGTACCCAGGGGGTGAAAAGGAGACATATTGTCTGCACCCATGTCTGTCCATCTGTTCGTTCACATTTCCATGTTAACACTCTAGAATCTACAGTTATTATCCAATTTTGATCAAACTTGACGTATGTATACTTAAACATTATTTTTCAAGTTCAAAATTGAGCTGTCTCTCAATATCAAGCCAAGAGTTAGTTACCCCTGAAATATCTGACTCATATTGAAAACACTACAGTTCCTGCTCTAGCATTTTGCAAGTGATTTTCATGTAGGTATTTATCAAAAAATGTTATTTGAACTTATCCACTATCTTAAAATTTGTTATTCCTTAGTGTTAGTAATGCTCTATTTTGTTTTGGTTTTTGTGACATTTGATTTTATTGAAAAAAGGGTTTTCACCCCCCTGGCTTGTTTCATATTTATTACTATGAAAAATGTGCTGCAATATAAATATATATATCATTGAATTCCTAAATCAATAAATCATTTAGAAAGGTAGTTTTTTTTTTGGAAGTAAAAAGTGAAAGACAAATAAATGAACATGCTTTAGCAGAAAACAAAATAAGATAAAATTATAATATAAGAGATGGAATTTTATTGATTATTAAGGAATAAAGATGAGAATATTTAATCTTCTTAAAGAGAGATATTAATATTTTATTGGTAGATGGAATGTATATGTATAATGATTTTAATCTCTGTGTGATATCAATAGAATCACGTCTTGTTGACTCCAGTGTTTGACCATGTATTATCTGGATAAATATGAAAAGACAGTAGAAACGTTGACAATTATTATATTCTTGTTAATTATATCTGTACCTGTATAATTCTTGCTATGTTGTTAACTTGTGGTTGTTGATGTGTAAGTTAGCTAGCTGTGGTGTCAGAGTGTGTTTTGTGAAAATCTTCATTTGATTGAGTTATTCTGCTACATATTGAACAGTGCTGCAAATTACAGTTTTTGTGTTTGATTCCTTTTTTGTTCCTTATGACGTAGATAGAATTGTTTTTACATAAGACATCTGCAACTTTCTCGACATGTATTTTCAAGACAAGTAAGGAATTTGCTTTTTCAAACTGTGAATTATCACGTCTTTTGTTTGTGTTGAATGTATAATTTCAGTATTATAACTTGATATAGATGTATATTTTATGTGACAGATTAGGAAATTATTCTGATAGTTTTTGTCTGCAGAATATTTTATTTTGTCTTATTATATTTTACAAGATTGAGTTCATTGATTTTAAATATACACTTGTCTTTTTAAAGTCTGTCTAAAATGTAATTAAATATCAGTATCAGAATAGTCTACCTTTAGGCGTAGAGATCATTAAATAATGAACACAATAATATTATATGCTACTCCTGGTTTTTATTGTGCACAAAATGTGGGTATTTTCCACACTGCCAAATATTGAATTACCTTTACGCTGACTGTTAAAATAAGTGTTTGGATTACCTGATGGGAGATCAGTTTTGTTTAAAAAAAATCTGATGGAGCCAGTGACATAAATGGTGTAGGGAGAAAATGATGGTTTGACTGAATTACAAAAATGTGCGTCTTTCTAAATGTATCTTGGTTTTGCAGATCTGAGGTATCTGAATAGGTTTAAAACCCCCGCACCTGTAGATGCAAAAAGTCCTCATTTAACAGGCCTATTTTTTCTGTCTCTACACTACCTGACATCTGTCCAAATAGGTATAAGAGGCTGGAATAGAGACAGATATTTTGGTCTCACTGATGACCTGAGCTAGATGAGACACTATAACTATAACATTTGTGGACACAAACCTTTGGTTGGAAATTAGTTTAAAGAAATAATAATAGAAAGTGGTAGAAGCAATAAAAACTTTGATTCCAAATGTATCTTGTAAACTTTAGTAATCTGATTTTATTATCAAGATTTAGATGTTGAGTTTCATTGACAGTAGCTTTATCATGATTTGAAACTTTTAACCATTAAAAAATGGTGAGTTAACAGTGAGTTGACAAAATTGTATATCCTTGACATGTAACAGATATATTGTTTTCAACATATTGTTTGATTGAATATTTGAATGACCTAAAACATTTGTGCATATATTTGCAGTTTGATAACATTAAAACAAAAAATACGAAATATGTTACATGTAATGCGTGAGAGGAAAATTTTATTACCACTACAACAACATGTTTAATACAAACAAATTTGTATCTCATTAGGAAGTTGACTGTTTTCTGATTTCTGATAGTTAAGGGTTGTTGTTTGGGTGTATTGAGACAAGGCTCAATAAAAGCACTGGGCTAGGTCACAGAGCAATAGATACGCTTATTAATTATGTGAAAATTGGTTATTCCTTGGTATGATTTTAGTTGAAAAGACACACACACAAACATACACTGCATGTTATATAATATACTGTATATAGCCATGGCACCAGTCCTGAATTAAGTATTCCCTGAAATCTAACTTAGAAATCGATCAATCTATTGATATAACATGATACATTTATATAAAGAAATATCCGTTCCTAGGATAAATGAGCATTGTTCAATGGTTCAAGTCTACTGTGAAAGAAAATTACTAGTTTTAGACTATTACAGGCTTAGCCGAAAAAAAAAAACAAACATTAGGTCAATGCTTATAAAAGAAATAATATTCTTAGTAAAGTGATTAGATCCCCTTTCATCAAGTCATTGAAGAAATTACATCAGATATTTTCAAGAATCATTTGTTTCAAAATCTCACCAGAAGTAATTATATCATGTATACTTTTCAGTAAAAAGTGTTCCTACAGGAGAGCAGGCTATCTCCTTTAACACCGTATGTTTTGACTTTTTTTTGACATTTATATTTCAGGAAATCATGTGCATTATTTTTTGCCCATGACCCTATAAAAATAGTACGAGCTAAAGGCCAATATATGTATGATGAAGAAGATAATGAATATTTAGATTGTATAAATAATGTTTGTCACGGTTAGTAAACATTTTCAAAATATATTTTAAACTCATTGCATTATATTACACAGTAGTAATTGGTATGTTTTTTCTGTAATGTGACAGTCAAAAGCTACAGACCTGTATGTTCAAGTGTTCAGAGCATCAGTTCTCAACAACTTCATTTCTCACAGGTATTACAGTTGGTTACAATATATCTGGCCAGTAGATATTGATATTGATAATGAAGTCCCCAATTCACCAAGGATTGTTTTTGCCAATCAGCTTGATCTGGACCAGATTGTCCCTGATGAACCAATTTTTTTGATCAACCCAAATGGCCTCCAATTGTCCCTATGTTTGATCTGATTAAGTCACTACCAATGGACGATGGCACAGACAAGGTGCAATATTGTGGATCTTCCTCTTGCGATGTGCATGTCTCAAGTGCTTGCAACTACTGCACAGGCCTGGTATAGACCAACTTCTTGATAAAATGATTTTCCTATGTTCTTCTGCCTACCAAATTTGCCTAGACATTTTTGATCCACTAATGCTTTTCAACTTGTTTTAAAACTACAGGTGATTACTATTATAAGTAGTGCTTGATTGTGCTCGCAGGGTCCTGATTATATTCACAAAAATACCCCAGATCAACAAGAGGATTGGGCACTATCTGTACCAAAAGATTCCTTGGTAAAATCGGCCTATATGATTTGGTTAATATATATTTCAGTTGGACATTGTCATCCCCATGTTGTTGAAGCTGGATCAAAACAGATGCAGATTTTAAATACTAACTCAAGATTTCTTCATGATAATATTGTTAAACTCGCCAAACGATTAACTGAAACTCTGCCTTCTGAATTATCAGTAGTATATTTCACTAACTCAGGGTAAGATATCTAGTTCATTACTATATAAGCTTATTGTTATTAAATAATTGAGACCAGCGCTTGATATGGCTTTACTGTGGAATCTCAAGTGAAAAAGGGACTCTTTTTCTCTAAAAAACCAGTTCCCAACCAATGTATTGATTACACTCCTGACAGAGACCACATTGAAGCTTGGTTCTTTCCAATTAACAAATAAGCAATTTGCTTACTTACATTTGTACATGAACGTATAGGTGATTTAAAGTGCATAATAGGCAGTAAATTTATTTTCTAAGATTATTACTATGTTCATGTCAATGAAGGTTATAATATGAAACATTTCTCTACAGATCTGAAGCTAATGACCTTGCCTTAAGACTTGCTAAACATCATACGAAACAATCTGATATGATAGTTTTAGAAGGGTAAGTAATTATCATATTGAGTATATATATCAAGAAGGACAATGATATCTTATGATCTCTTTTGTTATTCAATATTCAGTTTAATCTTTGAAATCTTCATTAACTTTATAATGTGACAATTTTTTTTAGAAAGACTATCTTTGAAATCTGAAAGTATTTTGTCAAGAGTTAACTCTTTGTTGACAATATAGTATGTGAAAGAGTACATAAGGTTTTCAGCCAAACCTCACCACAGATACTATAAAATTTCAGCTCATCTTCTTAATATCAGACATTTTGAAACCAAAAAATTGTAATGGGTTACCAGATTTTGATTACAAACTCAAAAAGACACCACTAAGTTATGAATTTTATTGTGAATGTCAGTGACATTATGTCACTGCCATGGTTCCACAAAATATAGAAAGGTATCATCCTAGTGCACAATCAAGGTGTGTACTTGAAGTCTACAGAAATTTATACAAAAAATGAAATGAAATTTATTTTTTCAATTGTACATACTTTTATAATGGTTACCTTAAATATAACTGACAATAATATATATTTGCAATTTCAGAGCATACCATGGTCATGTGATATCTTTAATAGATTTAAGTACATATAAACTTGATGATATGAAAGATGGTGTTCATAATAAACCTAAATCTGTTCATATGGTAGGTATATCTATGCTAATCTGTGCCATCATAAAGTTTAATGTTATAAGATTGTAATTATGTGATGATCTCATTGAGCATTGGTTTAATTATTGAGGAAAATTACAGTACTGGTATTTAATTTCGACATCATATTTTTTGACAAGGAATTTTAAAATGGTTGCTATTTCAAAATGGTTCAACCTATAAAGCTGTAATTTGCTGAATATCTAATATATAAGGTCAAATTATCATGATCTGAAAAATATCTGAAAGTGTTGTCATTTTTCTGGGTCACCCAATATAGTCCTGATGGTACCTGTTGATATACAATTGTCTTATTATATTATATTTGTTATATCAGAGTCTATATTTTTGATCTGATGTGGTTTGTAAGAATTGCGTAGATCTTGGACGAGTTTGATGTTCTATTAGTTTTGTAGTTGCTATCCTCTGCTGAGTAATAATGATTCAAATTGTTACATTATAGTTCTTCAGGTAATCCAAAAGTATCCAGACCACTATTTGTACCTTCATGATAAAGGATGTTTATTTATAGCATATTGAGCCATATGACAGATAGGTTAATCAGGTAATTTGTTCAGTTAACAAAGTTAATTTGTTAGTAATTACATATTTATCATTGAAATATTTATCAATTGTATAGGTTGCCTGTCCTGATATCTACCGTGGTAAATATAGAGATGATGAACATCCAAAAGAAGATCTAGCTAAGTTATATGCTGATGATGTTAAGGAACTGATAGATGTGATACACAATCATGGTGATACAGTTAGTGGTTTTATAGCTGAATCCATGCAGAGTTGTGGTGGACAAATCATATATCCTGATGGATATTTACAAAAAGTTTTCAAGTATGTTTATTTTCTTATTTCCAAACGAATAGTTAATTGTCCAGTTAATTGTAATTGCTTATTATTTATATAACTCAATTACACCTTTTATTTCTATTTGCATATGTGCAGCTTTTGGGACACATTTGCATGATGACTGATTGACAAGTCCAAAAAATTGTTATGAAATTTGTCCACATGTATATTGGTCAAAAAAATGGTGCATCTATTCCTTTAACAAAGCATCAAATTGTAATAACTTATGATTAATATTTTTTAAATGAAATTTAAAAAGTAAGTGAAAATTGTGGGATTAAAATAAAGTGATAAATACTATATTCTTAAGACATGTTCATGATGCTGGTGGAGTTACTATTATGGATGAGGTTCAAGTTGGTTTTGGAAGAGTTGGAAATCATATGTGGTCTTTTCAAGATCAAGGTATTAGAACAGAATTATTTTTAACATTTTGTACAAATCAGAATTTGGCATTGCTGTATTACAATTTAAACAAGTTAGAAAGGGTGGGTTGAATTTGTAGAGTAGGTTGCTAGGTGCCTTCAGTGTGGACTCTCTCTAACTTCCATGAATTGGCTCTGGACTGATAAGCAGTGATGAATCAGGAAAATTGCCATGTGATTATGAATATCATCAAATTGACAATGATCTTAGTTGATTTTGAGATTGTTTCTAGTAGTTTAATCTTATTTTTTTCTGTTAATGATAGGTGTGATACCAGATATTGTGACCATGGGTAAACCAATGGGTAATGGTCATCCTATTGCTGCTGTGGTCACAACTAAAGAGATCTCTGCTAGTTTTGCTTCTTGTGGTGCTGAATATTTCAATACTGTAAGTTATTGCATATTTCCCTTTTTTATGAGAATAAGCTTTGCTTTGAGAAATCTTTTTATACATCCTCATAAAATGTGGAATGTACATTGGCGTCACCCTTGTCCAATTTTGTAATTAAAGAGTTTCTATCAATCTTTCCAACCTTGGATATCATTTCATTGATGTAGATCACTGGAGCTGATATCTCAGTAACATCTGAAGTTTGAATTAAAAGGAAACACGGTTTGTGTGCTTTAGACTGTTAAAGGTCGGAAAGCATTTGGAAACTAATAAAGAGTTAATTGGCAAAACTAATTCAATTCTAAGTAGGTAAGAAAGATGTAAACAATATTGTACTATTTCAGTATGGTGGAAACCCAGTGTCTTGTGCTATAGGTCTAGCAGTATTAGATGTTATTGAGCTTGAAAAACTAAAAGAAAATGCTTTAAAAGTAGGAAACTATGTGTTGGTAAAATTTCGACAATTGATGGATAAACATCAGATAATAGGTGATGTCAGGTGCGTGTCATGCAGTAAATATTTTACTTTTCTTTGCAAATTATATACCTAAAGCTAAAGGCTACCATTTCAGCTGACCATAGGCAGTACTAGTCAGATGAAGATGCACTTGGAGAATCTGACTATTTATGAATAAGTTATAACCAAATAGAGTTTATAAAAAAAAGATTACTCCACATATATAACCTTCATATAAAAAAAAATGTTAAAACAATTCATGAATTATTCTAGATAATAATGTATACAGTGGTGTAAAAACTATTTTCGTGGATATAAGGATTCAACACCGAATTTCGTCAAAGTTAAAAAAACGAATTTTTTTTTTATGTCTTAGATGTTTCCTCAGATATTCTACAAAATAATTAAAATTGGTTTATTTCAATTTTCTTTATGAATCCTTCACTTTGACCCATATTTCATGAGCAACCAACTCAGCAACGGCAGCAGAATGTGTCACCTATTTTCGTGTACAGTGTTTGATCTATAAATAAGTCTAGAAAGACACGTTGTATAGATACCGGGTGGTATAATTAACTTCTCTTAGTATTTATCTTTAATATCAACTATATTAATCAATTATCAATTATCAATTATAACTAGTGACAATTCCTTCAAAGAACCACAATTTAAAAAAAAATAGCGACTGACAAACTAAGATACGTAGCGTGATTTATTGCTAAAAGTCAGTGAAACAACATAAGAATATGGTCCACTTTGTGTTCCATAAAAATTTTCTGCCGACATGGAATCCGCTAGTTGATCGCGTGACTTCATTCGTTGGAATACATTCTAGCAGACGACACTTGGAATTCCGATTGCAGCTTCGGATTAAAAGGAAATTCGGCCGATAAAAAATGGTGACGTTTGGTAATAAGTGAAATCCGCCATTTTGTATTTGTCAAAGTATACATTAATACATTTTACCTTGCTTGAAACTACTGAATTCATTCTGCTAGCTGATATTGTACAGAAAACCCATGTTTATCAAAACAAGCAAATGCAGAGGTCACGAGAATTTGCACATGTAGATTATTAATCATTTCCGGAAATCCATGAAAAATAGGTTACCACGAAATTATGTTACTTGACTGTAGTATTATTCTGAATAATGATGAAGTTTTTTCTACATCTAATTAATTTGTGATTGTAATTTATCTAATCTAGATTTCAACTAAAAACATTCTTTATTGATGTGACCTTTCTTTATAATTTTCCTACCAGAAGTTCTCAGAAGATATTTGCAATGAAATTATAATTTTTAGTAATAATTAGTATTTATACCTATGTGGATAGGAATTTTATCTGATATATATATATTATTATAGAGGTAAAGGATTATTTGTGGGACTGGATCTAGTAAAAGATAGAAAAACACGAGAACCAGCATCTGAAGAAGCCAAGTATGTTATAGCAAGGTAAAGAAATTAATTGTTATGATTTTTGTTCTTTTCAATTGCAAAGTGTAGGCAGACAAAGATAAGCATAACTTGAATCGTAAATGAAAGAAAACTGCTTTAGCTATGTTAAGATATATCCTTAGATATCATGGAAAGCTTGTTTGACAGTACTTTACAATAGTTCAAAGAAAAAGTTATCTCTCTGCTGCCTGAGTGAGATTGGGTTTGTCTAAGATTAATGCGAAACTAGCTATATGAGGCTATGAAAATTGTGGAAAGCAGCACATCAAATGGAAAGTTTGATGGTATTTCAGATTAAAAGAAGAACATATATTATACAGTAGAGATGGTCCACACAGAAATGTTTTAAAAATGAAACCACCAATGTGCTTCACAGAACAGAATGTAGATCATTTATGTGAGAAATTAGATATGATATTTAAAGAAATTAAAAGTGGACAGGTTAAACTAGATGCCAACAACAGTAGTAGTGCTATTGAAGAACCTCCATTGAAAAAACTGTGTACTGGAATAGGTATTGATACTTCTGTTTTAAATGGTACCAAACAGTCTTAAAGAATACCAAAATTTATTTTATATTTGTTTCCACAGAAGCATTAAATTATGCTAAAACACAATTTAATGTCACAAAATGAATAACTTGTGTGATTAGAGTAGTAACCATGGTGATCTATTTGCTGCTATAAAAGTAGCTGTTTTTATTGTCAGGAATGAAAGTCATAAGCTGTTTGTTTTGTTACAGTAATTATAATTGGATATGGGATATATCAAGACCTATAATTAATTATTATCGTTATGGATTGATTTTACTGATCAATTGAGTTTTAATTATTTACAAGTTTGCATTAATGAATTATTATATTTGACATAAATTTTTGAAGTTTGAATTGAAATTTTATTTCATAAGCGAGGTATTTAATCTATTTATACATGTACCAAATGTTCTTGTACATGATGATTTATATTCAGTTCAGAAATATCAGTGGCACGTTTTTGCAGCGTTCTTTATTAAGTGTATCAGATTGCCAAACCTTGGAGTTTGTTTTAAACATGTCCAAAAAAAACACTGTGGCTCAATGGCGTGTCTGGTGTGTCTTACATAACGCTTATAGCAACTTTAACAGGCTCTGAACTAATTTTCAGTTGCTTTAGCAGTGCAGTAGGAATGCCTTTCAGGTGTGGTGGGTCATTAAGTGACTTATACTGGGTGTATTTCACAATAAGAGATTGTAATATTTGATGTTCAAAAGCTGAATTCATTGTACTCTTTATATAGACCCACCTCAATATACTGTTATAAGAAAGATAATTCATTTTAAAGATTTTAAAGTTCAAATTTTATGATCCCTATATTTTGATGAAACAATAATTGTAAATAATTTGGATGTCAATTCCCTTTAAATTATCTTATAATATTTATTAGATATACTATAATATATAAAATAGTTTTTATATATTCCATATGCTTTAAGACACTAATGTCATAGCATCACAGTTAACCAATTGTTGTAAGATTATTGTGAATGTATTTTGGACTACAGCATGATTTTGTTTTGTCAGTATTAAGATCTGTTGTTAAATGGGACATAGTCATCTAACTATTCACTGATCTAGTTCAATTTTAGCTGTTATTAGTCATTTCAGGTTTAAAATCTCTTTGTCAACCAAATATCCCTTTAATCTCATCATATTGTCATTAAGTGGACCTTTCTCATTATTGTTATATTATGTAATAGTCATTTTTTTCTCTGTTTTAAAACTTTAGTTTATTGATAATGAATTTTAAAGCTTGCTTTACAAAATTTGTTATAATTTTGAATTGTTTTTTTTCTTTGAGAAATTTTTTTGTAAGTCAAGTCAAATGCATCCATTGTTTTAGATGTGCTGCTTTGAGGTTGTTTAATGTTTCATATGTTTTATCAAATGCTTTAAGTTTTTCATATTTTGCTTTAAATTTTTAATTGTGATGCTTTTAGGTTTTATGCTAAATATTATTTATGTTATTATATGCTTGATTTTAGTAATTGTCTGCATTGAGATTGTAACACTATATTTTAAATTTGCCATGCTTTAACTTTATGTTATACATGTATATTTGTTTTAAATACCAGTTAGATCTTATCACAATATTTTTGTTTTCTTCTTTACATTTTTACTGTTAATATATGAGATATGTCTGTAGACTCTCTGTGTCAAACCTGTTCAGTTTTCAAAACTGGAAACTGTTGACATTGTGGTTTGGAAGGATTTCTGTTTTCTAATTCTGAATGGTGTTGTCCCTATGCCAGGCATATCTTGGATATTTCAGAATTAAGCCCCACATCTCTCAGAGTGATGCACCCAAATTTCAAAGTGCAATGACCAAAACAGCCTCAGCGATACCTCTGTATTGAGTGTTGCTCAAATGTCAGGTCTATGCTCGTATATGTGAAAATGATACCCCTTTCGGTTACAGTGGTGCAAATACATATTTAATTTCTGCCAGTGATGCCAATATCTGTCAAAGTGATACCCATCAAACTTTGGTGCAAATTCAAAGTTGTTGGCTGAAGACACTAGAGAATATTCTATTTCAAGAAATACCAAAAGTATACGGTTCTTGAGGTTAAAGTTTACTCGTTCGGGACTCTGAAAGACCATCAGGGTAACTATTTTGATAAATCGGGTAATATTTGTAAAAAGTGTTGCCTAATTAAACGACCGACCCACAAATGGTTGCAATTGCAACGTCAAGAATATGTTTGTAAATAAATTACATTGGGGAATAGTCTTTTTGGTGTTGCTGAGCTTCACAATATCAGATAATATTGATTTCGAGGATTTAAAACTGTGTCAAGGGGAATAACTCTCTTGAAAGAGTTAAGTCCCTTTTCAAAATGGCCACCTTACAAGTTTTGTGTCCGAATGGGAGAAGACAAAATGTGAAAATTACACCAAATTCAAAGCTTTTACAAGTAAGTAATGAGTATTTTAAGTAATGGCCACAATCGGCCTATATCAATGTATTCCTTGATTGAATATACAAGAGATGACACATTAAAGAGAGATATATCTTCGCTTAGTCTAAGACCTTCACTCAGCTATTATTTATTATTTGTTGATGATATTTCACTTTTGTCATGTTACTTTCACTGTCATGTTCGTGTTTGTTCTTTTAAAATTTGATGTTTTTTCATTTTGACGAAATTGGAGTTGAATCCTAATACATGTATTCACGAATATAGGTTACACATGGTCGGGAGTCGCACATGTCAATTATTTATCATTTTCGGAGCTAGGTTAGCACGAAATTAGGTTATTTGACTGTATATCATATCAGTATTGGCATGATGTTTGGCAAAAGAGAGGTCAGCTGTTTTACCAACAGTTCTACTTTTCCACTCATTATCTTTACAAATCCACAGCCTTGGTAAGTAGGCATATCAATTTAGTCCTACCCTAACTCAGTCTTTTAAGGGTTACAATCTCTCAGTTTTCGAAATTGAATCATATATGTATTCTGTTGTAATCTGAATTCAGTTCATTATTTCAGGTGCTTGAGGAAGTTTGTAAGAAACAAGGATATCTGCCCCCTGAAGACTATAACTTGATGTACGTATCAATCAGTATGGTAACTCTATAAACTTAGCTTAAAGGTTTTGTTAAATCTATTTCATTTTAACAGTCTCTTCAAAACTTTAGATAAAGGTTGATACATATCCTGAGATAACGGTACATGATCTTATATTCCATTATTCCATTATCTTATATTCCATGCCATCATATCAGTTAACATTGTTCACTTTGTCAATAGAAGATTGTATTTATGTGGAAATGATACTTAATGAAGCTCATTTTTTTAAGCCACTTCATATGATTATATCTTTATTATTTGAAGTGCAATACTGTAGAAATAGGCAACATTTATGTACATGTTGGAGATAATTCATAGAAAAAAGTCAATAAAATAAATCAATAGATTTGAACGCTATCTAGTAGTGACTGCCTGTAGTTTTATGAGATATATCATATTTCAGACAGGGCAGAAAGACCCTAGATCTAACACTAGCCTTTAGATACTGTGGTTTGGTGAATAACAGTAAGTTAGAATTAGTCAAGTCATCAAGTTCCAGGGCAGAAGAAGATGTGCTGATAGCTTTACAATTAGAAGATGGAAGTCGACAACAAGCTTCATTTAAACCTTCTATTACATTATGGGATATTTTATTACACTGGGAAAATCAACCTAATAGGTATTAATTATTAAATTAGACACAGAACTCACACTATATCATACATGGATGTTCTCTTAAAACAAGTCATTAAATATCCTCGAATAGGCCTGTTTTAAATTAATATTCAAATTTTGTTAATCTCTTATGTTCATGATTATTATATTTTGATGTTGATGCATGCCATATTTTGAACTGGAAATGTGATGCATTTCATATTTTTCAGGAACTGTTTCAGCCCTTTTTTAATTCGATTGTTTAAATTAAAACTCATTTCATTTGATAATGGATTTTCATTTCATTTGATAATGGATTTTCATTTCATTTGATAATGGATTTTCATTTCATTTGATAATGGATTTTTCATTTGCAGCCCATATAAAGATAAGCTGACCACTATAAATGACAGTGAAGCTAGTGTTAAACATCCTGTGTGCATTTACATGAGAGAAGAGGTATATAACTTTAGATTAATAAGATAGATTAAGAGGCAAATTTCTGATGTAGAACCCAGTAATTTAGGAAGTTGATTTATACTGCATGTAAAATAATATAAGTTATCATTGCAAAGTTTTCTTATAAAGCTCAATAAAAAAAAAATGATCTTTTAATTTTAGGTTATAGGTGAAACAGCACTAAGAAATACAACTTTAAAACAGTTAGGTCTTACTGGTGGAAAAGCTGTTATCAGGTATTTTTAATGCTATTTTTTTCAAATAGTGAAGGCATAATCTGGTCAATTTTATCAGGATTTACAGAAATGGTATAAGAAATTATGATATGCAAATAGAAAAAATAAACAAAGAATGGGAAAGATCTATTAAACCAACTTATTCTGGCACAGCATCTTTTATCAGCAATATGTCATAGGTTTTTTTCTCAAAGTTGGGAACAGAAAATGTTTCTAATGGTACCAGGGTGAGAGAATTTGGTATTACTTTGAAATTTTAAACTTGGAAGAGGTAGTATGTATGACTAACCTGTGTGGCAATTCTATATTTCAGAATGGTACATAGAGCAGTTGATGATCATACTTTAGCTAAAATCATTCAAGACGTGGAAAAATCTAATGCTAAAAAAGTAAAATTAGAGGATATAGCCAGTCAAAAATACCTTGAACAACAGAATCAACTAGTTACACAGTTAACTAGTAGTGGTGACAAGACAACCGATACTAGTAGTGAAACTAGAGTCACTCAAAACATGGACACTACATCTCATAGTGAAGCTAGGCCTAATATTGGTAGTGAAAATCTAGAACCAATGGAGGTTGATTCTATGACTAGTAACCGATCTGGGTCGAGTTTGTCCATGACTAATCAACCAGATAGTACTATTAGTACAACCAGCACTACCACTGATAATAGTATCAATAGACTAAGGGAAATGAATATACCTGGTGTAGACATTTTTACTCCTCAGGATTTTGCTGATTTATCTCCTCAAGAACAAGCTGTAAGTTTTTATAACATTATTCTTTAAAACATTTGCCAGTCATTCACTGATAAAACTCAGTTAGTGTATACTCTGTCCTTAGTGTCTTTGATCATCTGATGAATATTGGAGGGGCTAAACATTAAAAGTTTCTTGCTATTTCTATTAGAAAAAAGGTACGTACTGGTCGTTAGATTAAATTTTTTTTATTTTTTATTTTGGTTGGTATATTTCAGATAGCTACTAGATTAGCTCATAGATTTGTACCAGGTTTGATGAGAAGTAATCATCAGACAGCAGTATCTTCCTCTACCCAATCACGACACCAGCCTAGACAGATAGCTCCTAATTTGACTGAATTCAAGGTATTTTTTTCTTTCTTGAAATGAATGATTTCGATTTTGCATGGAATTTCACAAAAATCATCTTGACAAATTTAACTGACTTTCAGGTATTTTTTATTTGAACTTAAAGAAATATTGGATTTGCTACATGACAGTTCAGATCCATTACAAAAATCGTTTTGACAAATAACAGATTTAATTTTAATTTTGCTTTGGATTTCTAAGTAATTTTTGTGTTTATAGCAACCTTAATTGACCTTCATGAAGTATTTGTTCTCTTTTTTCTCTAACTGAAAATTAAAAATCTTCAATTTTTCATTCTCTGTTAATTCCCAGTTTATTTCCTTCTGCAATCATTTGATTCGTTCCATAGATGTTGGTCTCTTCTACATTTCCACTTCAATGTATGTTATCTATTTCTAGTTTCCTGAAGAAACCAAGGGTAAAGATGTCTATCACAATGAATTGAGGTAAGTACAGTTTTATTACCTTCAGTATAGATTTACAGATAGAATATTACTGTTGAATTAAATCACTATATTTGAAGCTGGAAAAACATAAATTGATTCTTGGATGATAGAAATTGAAATAGAGATTATGCCTCAATGTAAGAAATTCTGTTGTTCTTTGAGTAATTGGAAATAGGGACAGGTGCACCATTCTTTTTCACCAATTATAATTTAATCTCAGAAACTGGAAATCTTTAACTTAGCCAATCAGTAATAATCTTCACAGCTCACCTTTAAAATTTGAACCTTCAAATCCATGTGTTTCCAGAATTATCCGCGTTTCAATGTTAAAATGATTTTAAGATACTCTGTGATATATATGACAGACAAATATAGAAATAGTGAATGAAATTCCCAGTTTCAGATGTTTTTGAAGGAATTATGTGTTTTTCGTACATTTTTAGTACTTCTGAAACCAATTTACACATTTTCAATTAAACCTCTAAAATGGCGCATCTGTCCTTTTAAGTTATTTTAAAGTTCTGTGATATTTATTTTTGTATTGTTATAGCTGCATGACTTTAGATTACAACCATCCTTATTGGAATGTTTTAAATTATCCAGTAAGTTATAATTTAGTAGATATCTTTATATTTATCCTCTTTATTTCATTCTGTTTTTATTTCTATATTGTAGTGCTGTCAATAGAGAGGAATTTAAGGTACAATATTTATCTTTACTTTATTTTAACACATTGTTTCTATTCTGTGAAGTCTGAACTTTGAGGTACACAGATTTTATAACTTTGGTTGGAATTTTTTATATAGAAAACTATCTCGTCACATCGAATAACCAATCGAGGCTCCGTGTATAACAGACTGTCCATGTCAAAGCACATTTATGAGGAACTTGTAAAAAAGGAAGCCAATCCAGCTGCCTTGGTAGCTATTAACATGCCTCTCTCTGTCAGTATTTATTAGTTTACAATAAACACGTTGTACAATAAGGGATCCAAGTTGAATTTAAATATTTGCTTACAGTATTGTGCATTGTTTATTTATTATAGCCATGTGATAGAGAGAGTATCTTATATTCATTAGAAGAAACATTGATAACATCCAAGGCTGCAGCAGAAGGTATTAATATTATATGTTGACCAAGTGTAATAAGGGGGAAAAAAACAATTATTTTGAGAGGGATTCGATGTTAAAGGCAATGACCATAATATTAGATGGCATACATTCAACCTCCTAGCATCTTAATGCCTTGCCAACAAACCAATTTAAGGCTGATGTACAGAGAACTGATACAAAAACTTGTTTACAAACATATAATTTCAAACATTTTTTTGTTCTTTCAGAATTGTCTGATGATTTTTTTGAATTAAATGAGAATGATTTAAGAATAATGATGACAGATTTACAGAAAAAAGTGTAAGTCTCATCTTTTACTACAGGGTCTTCCCTACGTCTACAAGTCTACAAGCATAGAAAATGGTGCAAGCAGACTGACCATGTATCCAATGTTTGATCTAGTTTAGTTTGAGCTAAGATCTTTAGTCTATGGTTTCCAGTTTTATGGTTTTTCATGTTTAACTATAAAAGTTAATAGTGTATAACACAAACGATCATTTGGCTTGAATGGTTTATGTGATAATTTACGAATCTCATCAAGTTTGACAGTATTTCAAAAGGAATACTGTCTCTTTAACATGCATAATCTAAGGAAATTGTCTTCAAGGCAGACATTTGTGAGCTATTGAGCCAGCACAAAGTATATTGTCCATTAAGTGAAGGTGTACAGGGAGCGTCACAGGGCATTTAATAATGCAGTCCTGATATTTTTATTTTTGAAAATATTATATTTATAGTGAATCCATGGATAATGAAATGTTGATGACGAAAGCTTTAAGACAAGCTGCTTTAGAAGAAAAATATAATAAATATGAAAAAGTTATAATTAGAATACAGTTTCCAAATAAATTAGTTTTACAAGGTTTATTCCGACCCAGAGAAACAGGTGAGACTTACTGCATGTTATTTAATTGAATTACAGCGAGCAACCTTAAGACTGGCATAATCTTATGTATTATGGCCCTGTCACACCAGTAGGGTGTTCTTACTAGGCTGCTATCAAGATTGAAAATTGACTCAAAGCGTGTTAAGGTTGCCATTAGTGTGTCATAGGTGTGCAGGCTATTCCAGACAGCATTCAATCATCGCCATTGTCGCCACTACTCTCAAAGTCACAGCATTTATTTTGGACATGTTCAAATCAAATACCAAGGTTAGACTATCTGTTCCTAGACTTGTTGAGAACTCTATGGGATGGAGAATGTCATGAGACAAGCGTTGTAACATCTCCTTGAGTGGTATAAAAGAGCATTACAAGTGAAGCAAGACACTGCAAAAACATAAGAATGCAATGTCAATTTTCCTAACAAACATGTAGGTCTATAGAGACAGTACCTTTAAACTGTAATAGTAAACAATAAAGAATTTTCCAACAGATGTCCCTTTGATAATTGTAAGGTCTGACATGGGAAAAACCTACATTGTATGGAGCAATTGGTTTCCAATTCAGTTTTGATGAATATGAAAATTTATATTTTAATAAATTGTATTTTAGTGTTTGCAATAAATAAATATGTGAAAGAAAACTTAGAAGATAAAAATATGTCATTTTATCTGTGTAAGTCCTTAATTTTCTATTATTAGTGTCCTAAAGTCATTTATAATGTTTATAATTGTAATCATCTCTCTATGAAAAAAAAGTTTTGGTGAAAAAGGCCTCCAGAGTATTTATACTATCAAAGAAAATCATGTCACATGTGGCATCTTTTAAACAGATCTCATATAAATATTTTACTAAGAAATTTTTAATACATTTTGTCAGTACTTTGACCTGAACCTAACAATTCAGATGATTGACATTTGATGATAGAAAATAATGTAATAAATATTATTTGAATTTTTATTGTTTTCTTTACAGATACTACCCCTCCTAAAACTGTTTTAAAAGATCAAAGTCAAACTTTATTAGAGGTAACAATGTATTTTATATTAAGCTAACTGTCTGTTTTTTATACAATTTTTATCCATGCACACCATACATAAATATTATTGGCTATGGCAAGTATATATAGTACTATTTTGTTGGACCTGTTGGACATTTGTTGTATAATTTTTGCACACCAATAGGCCTATCAATCTCTTAGTGAATAATAATGTTCTTGATTCATTCTTCAACCCATGCTCCACTTCTATAACAGGTGTAAAGCAAGGTAATGTTTTGAAGTTTACAAACTCAGCTTCCCTTTAGGTGATATTTGGTATAATTATTTAATATTACTTGTGTTGCTTAGGCTGACAAAATACATAACATTCTATTTCAGGCTAATTTAGTACCAGCATCTTTAATACATTTTGGTTCTGATATGGAGCATGGTAAGTCTATTATTATCAAAACTCTTTGGATTTATTTATTACAGCTAAAAAATTCTTTTTTCAAACACAAATTTGATTTTTGTGATTGATTATCACAGCTCAAATTTTACTGTAGTGATCATTTATTATTGAGCACAAAATGAGTGTGCAATATTTTTATTCACATTTTTTGTAGCCAGTCTATTATTTTTGTGATCTATTTTACCATTAAGGAATGTAGGATCAGGCTGTCCTCATATTAAACATCTGTAATAGTTTACATCAGTTAATAAACAAGACTTACACTTAAAATGATAATTTCTTATTATAATTGTAGATAGCTATGTTACTTTACCATTAATAAGTTCTATATCACCAAGGTTAAAAGCTGAAGAATTGGTAGCTAAATGGTAATGTAGTGTTTTATATTCTTGATTAAAGACTTGTAGAATGTATTAAGGAATTTCAATACACAGCCTTGTATTTTCCTTGCCTTATTGTTATATTTACACTTTATTTTTTTAGTTACATTTGACATTGAATCAGCTGAAAACTTATTATTTGTTGATTTTGGCTGGAATGTTTTAATCTAGCTGGTATTTAGTAAAGATTTTTTTTAGCTCATTCTTGTATATGAGTAGATTAAATATTTCTATAATTTTGACCCAGGTGCAAATTATATTTTGTTCACTTTATTTTGACACTTTCTTTATAATTATAGTTTCTGCTGCTGTAAAACTTAAATATAAATGTTTATTTTGTATAATTTTAGTTTAAAATCTGATGAAATTTCCTCTGCATGCAGTGATAATAAAAAATCTCAAACATCTAGAATTTCAAATATAGCTGGATCTTCTTCTAGCAGCTCAAGTGAACCAAAGGTTCCAAAATGGTTGAAATTAGGTTTGTTTCTTTAAAAAATATTGGTATTTAATTAACCTTGAGAAAATATTTTACGGTTTAATTTCATTTGGTGCTCTGATGTTGTGTACTTATTAAGTTAAGATAAAATAAAAGTGTTGTCAACTATAAGCACCACTCATGAATCCTCACTTATAATGAGACTTTTAAACATTGTTTCATATTTTGTGCAAAAGTATGAAAACGAAAAACATCTTTCTACAAATCTGGTCCAATCATTTTAGAAAACTTTTAAAATATTCAAGATGAGTTTGTTGATTTGTTGATGTTGCACACTTCTTGTCTTCATCCGACCCATCTCATATCAACTTAGAAAATGTTTGAACATTAATGTAACAGTAGTGGTGAGGTGATAAATTGCCATCCTATTTTTTGCAGGGAAGAAATAAAGTTACTAGTCTTTGAACAGAAGGTTTTGATGGGCTTTCATATTCATAGTTCTTCTTCAGTATGTGCTACATAATCAATTTGTGAATATAGGAAATACTTATGGATCAAGACAGCTTTGTTTTCTATTGGAGCTTAAACAGTAGCTTATTGTCTGTGTCAGCTGTATCATTGTCTGTATTGGTTGTTCTGATCTGATTATCTAAAGTACTGTTGCAGTCACTGGTGGATTGTTTGAGCATTATCAAGTGATGAAGGAGAAATAAGATAATAATACAGCCAGGTGTATTTTGTATGTTTAACTGAAACTGTGCTTGGTATAACCTACCAATATGTCCTGACCTGTAGTAATTATGTGTATGTTATAGTGTAGACTACTGACTTTATTTGTTTCCATCTTCCACATTATAAAGTGTGGGTCTGACAGAGATGTGAGATAAGGGGTCAGTTAATATTCACTAAATACTGTTAAATTAAAATAACCAATACGCCTAAACTTTGCGATTTTTTATTAATATTATTTAATAGAGAAAATGTGAATAAGATTATGTATTTATAACTATAGGGAAGGTTGCCTTGTTATATGATTTATATTGTTAAATTAAACATAGAAAAGACAACACGTCTTTGGTTCTGTACGTATGTATGTGGAATTTTTGCTGTGGAGAGGATAAACAGTTTACATAACAGAATAGCATCTCAAAAATTTGATATTGGCACTAAATTAATGAAAAGTTCCTTAGGGGCACTCAATTGGTGAGTTTGGGATTTCCTGAAATTAACCAATGGTTCATTAAACAAGAGACCAGAACATTTTCCACCTGTGCCAAAAAACAGAACTTACCAATCAGCGCCTTAATTGAAAGACAATAGGTATAGGGGTATAATGAAAGGGAGAGTTTATTTCACAAGAGTTCATTTTTATTTTTTTTGGTCTTTAAAGCAGGTCTTTCGAAAATGGGACAAGAACAGAAGTGAAGTGTAAGTGAAATATCTTTAATCCAACATGAAATAATTTCATAATATATTTAATTGTAACCAATTTCAGAAAAATATGGATTTTAAAAACAATTTGTGACACCACATAAATTTTTGTATCTAAACTATTGCATAAATCATATTAAATTATAAATAAATTAAAATAAATAAACAAAAAACATAAATATTTCTTAGAAATAACGACTAGAACTATAAACAATCTCTGCAATTAAATTGAACAGTGGAAAAACCTCTGTCAATGTTATTAACGATTTCTAAATTTTTTTAGAATCTCTGCAATTAAATTAGATTTAACAGTGAAAAAACCTATATAAATTTTATTTTCTTTTGCACACAGAGCGTTGGAAAGATAAATGGTAAAATAGTTAAATGTAAATGCACAATTATATTGAATGCAAAGTTTGAGCTTATAAAACAAAACATAGATTCTTCTGTTCTGCACTTCTCTAAAGCCACTCCTTGTGTAACTTATTACGGAAAATTGGTTTTCATTTATTATTTGTTTAAATTATTGTTAACAATTTGTGGAACTTGTAATCTGCTCCAAAATTAAAAATCAAATTTTGGTCACCTTTTCAAATGAGCAAATAAACTTCCTATTTAAGTAAAGTTTGGTGTTAGGGTGTATTGAGACGAGTCTCAATGAAAGCACTGGCCTAGGTCACAGAGCAATAGATAAGTCTATTGAATCTTACAATCATATATTTGTAAAATGCAATTCGATAAATCTTCAAAAATTTTAATTATTTACAAGAATAAAATACATCTGTGACTAATGTTTGAAACTTATAATAAGTATTTCTTAGTCAATTGATATAAATCAACGAAAACAAAACAGTAAAAAAAATATGAACATTGAATACTTGGGAATGACACCAGAGATCAAAGATAAAAAAGGCATAAAATATTTAAAACTAACAATTTCACAAAAATTATAACAAACATGTAAAAACATATATGGAATTGTAAGATTGGTCCATAAAATATAAAACAAAAACTTGGACATCATCTAAACAAAGTGCTGAAATAATGACATATACAATATCCATAAAAATTTATAATATATTCCTTTTAAAAGACTTGATTGAAAAGTGAATTTAATTGACTTATTTCCTAAAGTGTAATATATCAAAACAACAACGAGAGTTAACTTTAATTTATGAATGGGGAGCAGAACATATTACCCTTCTATATATTGATAATTTGTATCCAAATTGAAAAGATTCAGAACCATTCAGGCAATATTTAACTACTGAGTACTGTAATAACTGTATTTTATCTTATATATGACCAGTTTAATACGAAAATAAATAAACATAATATTATGGCCACCCCATTTAATATCTAACATATGTAATTAAACATCACTTAAAATGCAATTTTTCTTTTAAATCTTAAACTATCAAACAATAATTATAGTGGAGCCCTATTAATTATACATTTTCGTTCTGATAATGCAACAAAAATCTTGGAACAAGTCTAATGAAACATATGTACTATAACAATATTTATTGGAGCAAGATTTGTGATTCAAGGCAATTATATAACAATAGTAACCCTGTTAAATTTATGGTATAGAAGAGGCAGCTTGGTCATGAACCTTGTTCCGTTTCTTAACAAAATCTTGAGCATCTTTATCCCAGCTTCTTCTTCCCAATATTTCTAAAGCGGCATGATCTGAAAATAGAATCTTAGTAGCATCACAAAACCAACACATGAAGCACAGTATAGTAGGGTATTAATAATCTAAGATAAACTATTGCCCAAACCCAGGCTGCATTTTCTAAAAACGATCTTAGTGCTAGATATGAGACCAGCTTCTCTTTGGTTGCTTGGTTGGTTGTTTGGTATAATATGATTATTTTATGGCAGGATCCTCAGTATCCTTAGAAGTTATGATATACTAAAATATTACTGTTCTCCTTTCATTCCACAAAATATAATTCACAAATATGAATAAAAAAAAAATTGGTTTATTAAAAAATGATACATTTCATCAAAGCAAGGAAATAATATGACGGTAGATTTCTAAAAAGCCAAATTTCTTTTTATATATTTATGTTCACTAACCTTTATGTTTTGGATGCATTAAAGGTAGAGCTACAATACTTAAAGCTTCATATCCTGATACCTCTACTCCATCTACTCCAGGAATCTCTGCCATAGATAAATACGCCTCACCAGCAAAATCATTTTGAAATACTAGATCATGGTCCATAACAGTAAATAATAAGGTGGCACCATGGCGCTGGCACTGGATAGGGTTTATGGTACTGCAAAACAAAAACTTATGTATATACAGTATAGATGCATAGACACACACACCTTTTAATCACCTCAATGATTCATGATCTCTTAAATACTAGCTATGTTAATTTACAAGGAGAGCAGAAACTGAAAGTACAACAAGACATATTATTCTCTGGTGCACTGTCAAACAAAATAGGCCTATTTTAAATTTGTTGTCTGAATTCCATTGAAAATGCGAAAAAAAAAAAAAGCAACAGCCCTGGCCATGAAACAACTAATTAGGTGACATCACTTATGCAGTTCTTTGTCAATCAAGAACTAAATAGCACAGTAGCCAAAATTCTTAATTAAGACCCTAGGTAGATTATAACTTAGAAGACTACCAATAGGCTAAATACAATACAGGCACTCAGTTTAGCCTTTCAATTAATTTGGGAATATGCTGTTTGATACTTTTAATAAGTACTGCTTGTTCTGCTTTTCCATATACTGGTAATAACATGTTGGTGCTCTACCTTGATACTTACAATTCAAAAGTTTCTTCAAACAATGGGTTTAATGTTTTTTTGATAACTTTAGTACTTTGAACTGATACATTTGGAAACACATGTTCTGGTAATAACTGGACTAATACAAATGGGTCACTTAAACCTATAATAAATAATATGATACTTAATATACTGTTAACATCGCAGCTTTTGTTTTCAAATTATCACAGCTCCACATTCAAAAGGTGGAAATGAAACATCTATATTTTAGAAGGATACTTAGGTTCACAAAAGAGCCTTTCTGCCAGCTGGTCCTTGGTCAAACCTCATGGCATTGAACTTTCTCAGATTATCTATACCCATTTACAGCTGGGTCGACTGGAATTATGAGTGAAGATGACTTATTCAAGGTCATCGGACTATCACAGGCATGATTGCTTGGTTAGAGCATATCATGACTGTAAAGTACCATTAACAGACTGTGCTACGAAGGAAAAAGACTGTGCATTTATCAAAGTCAGGTTAACATTTGAAAATGAGCATAATAAGGTGAACCTACCATTGGCATCAAGTGGAATAACATCCTTTGCACTTAGAACTGAAATATAACATCATTCATATTATCATTTACATGTTAAAGGAAAATTCCAAGAGACCATGGGTATAACTCTCTTTATGTTATTCATAGTTTCATATCTAAATAAATAAATACTAATTTGATATGGACATAATGTTTTATGGAAAAGATTTTGTTCCATTATAATAAAAGTCTATAATATATTAGACATACCTTCTACAAGTAAGGTATGAGCATCCATTCTATAACATACTCTAACATTTAATATACCATATTCACTATTGTCTAACTGAGACTATAATTATAAAATACACGACACATGATGAGAATATTACGGCTTGAAATTGATTCAGATATTTGAACATGTCATAACATTGGCCTGTATTATTACAGTGTATATTGGTTAAATAATATACATATCATAAGTTGAAAACATAATAATTTCTCACCTGATCTTGACATTTACTATTAAAAAAAGTTTCTATTAAAGTTGGGGTGTCCATCTTATGTAATGATAATCTTTCTCTCAGGCTCTGTAATAGTACATTAAAAACTATATTTTCAAAAACCTCTGCTTGTTGCCTGCGTCCCTAATGGACAAGCTTAGAAATCTACGTGGCTACTGAATTATATAATTTAAATATATTATTGTATGTATATCAATGTAGATTTTAAGATTTCACTTGGTAATAAGTTATCTAAAGAAGTGAGTAAGCCAACCTGAAATTGATCTGTTATAATATCATCCATTGATAAACCTTTACCATTAGCATGGAAAAAATCTACCAGTACACCTAATGCATCAAACATTCTCTGATAGAATACTGGTGGTCTCTATAATAAAATACATAAATTATATTTCAATGGTTGTCTAATAGTAAGAATGTACAAAAGAAGGAACACAGCAAAAATTTAAAAAAAGCAGAGTAGTTAACTGTTCAACTATCTACAAATTGATTATTAATAAATATTGGCTATGATAATTAGCTACTCTTATTGACTGAGCCATTATATAATATTATTTAGTATAAAGCTCTGATATCTTGTATAGAAAATAATTTCAGACTATATCCTTTAATCAAATCATATTAATTAATTTTACTTACTACTTCTTCTTTCTCCATAACTTCTTGAAATTCTTCCATCACCTCTACCCAGATAGACTCTAATATTCTATCAAAGTTAGTTTTTAATAGATTATTATTTAATGTTAGAAGATTGGTATCTAGATATTCTAATAAATCACCTATAGCCTGAAATACAGTATAAATACACAACTGATGATCTATTTGGAGATTAGGAATTTTAGGTTGTAACATTGCGGTTAAGCAATGTTACGAAAGCACAGGCACAGGCATGTAGGCGTAACCTCTAGTGATAGAGCAATGTTTGTGAAGTTAGTTTAAAAGAATGATATAGAATATTTGAAATGCAAATCCATTATCTTCCGAATCTGAAATATATAAGAAGAATACTGGTTCCAACAGGAACATTAATAACCATGGAAATCATAATAAACATTTTTACTGGTGAAACTGAGGAATTGTCCTATATTAAATGAAAAGGAAAATGCTTATTTTATTTAAAAAATATATATAATTTATTAAGTGAAAATAGTATACATGTATGATATTTTTGCGAGGAAACTCTTCAATGGTAAGTTATCATAAATAAGAAATATTAATTAAAGGAAATGTACTAAACCTATGGAAGGGGGATGGGGGGTAATCTACCGCGGACTAAGAAATCATTTAGATTTTTATTACAGGTATAGGCAATAACTAAATCATTTGTAAAGACTGTTGGAATTTTTTCCTGCAATTCTAGAGGGATAATTATTCGGGGAACTTGACTAGCTGTGTTGTTGAATTGAATAACAAAAGGTATAATTTGGAAATCAACTTGGATGTTCATTCCTAAAGGATGCATGGTTTGTAATTTGTTTATCCAATAATTTTCGCGAATGAGTCGAATTTTCTTTGTATCAATGCCAGGTTGTTCGTATATCTGTTCAATGGGAATAATTTTCAGGTCTGTTAATTAGTGATCGGGTTGATTGAAGTGTTATGAAACGGTTTTATTGTGATTGTAGAGTAACAAGTTACTATTCAATATAAAGCACTGGAACAGGGTTAAAGTTATGTTTCCAATAATTGTGATGCTAATATGCAATGAACTAAATCAAAGAAGATCATAATGGTTATCATATAGATCTAAATCTAATTTTAAACAGATCTTAATATAATCTTTAAATGACATTTAGTAGTTGGTGTTAGGGTGTATTGAGACGAGTGATATCATTAACTAAATAAGAACACTATTAGCAATATACTATTCCTTTCTTTAATTTTTGCAACATTTCAATTCACATACAGGAATCTTTATCAAGCACAACTAATAATGATCTTAAGATTTTAGTGGTACTGGGCCCTTGATCTTGAAAAAGGTGATAAATCAGCAGAATTGAGATCAGAAAGTTATATTTTAGTCACACCTCCCTGCTTCTATTTTTTAACTTTATCTTTCTCTGTCTCTGAGCACTCATCACACAAGACTTACTAATTTTGAACTCTCTTAATAAGTGTTTCTGGTCTGACTTACTTGTTCTCATCAATTTTATACTATTATACTTTAAACTGTAAGGTCAGCTTTCTGTCAATTGGATAAGGTATTTTGGATATTGAATTTTCTTCAATATAGAATAGACTTGTGTATTTAGAATTTGAATATTATATTGCGTCTATTAATTCTGGAAAATGTGGATATTCTTATAGAAGGTATGTTATTGTTTAGGCTTCTTCTTTTTGTTTGCTGTAGTTACTAGGTTTCAGCCATTTTGTAATTTTATTGCTCATAGTTGAAGTTTACAGTTTTAGATTTATTAAATTCAATTTTTATCTTCAGCATTAAGCTGCATTACCCTACATTTTTAAATATCCTATAATTCTTTTTATATCATAATCCTTCTTTTTGCATGGCAAGGAATTAAATTTTTTTTTTTTTTGCAATGCCCCACCATACTTTACAAATACACACTGAATATTTTCTTCTCTCTTAAAGAACATGTCTTTGAATAAGCTAAATTCCCTATCAAATTTTCTTCTGAATAAAGAAACAACAGTGGATAATGAGCAGTGAAATAGCGAAAAAAAACAACTTGACCAGTTCACAGCTTAATATCCACTGCGTAAAGAAAATAATAATAGCTTACATCATCTGCAGGAACTGATTCAGGCGCCCAGTTTAAATGGAAGACATCTTTTTTAATATCAGGTCTCATCTGTAATGATATTAAAATTAACTACTTTTAGATCATTTTGAAGAAAGACAAGAATTAGATATATAGAAACATTATGAGATACTGTTGTTAATTAATACTACTAAGAAACTGTTTGTGCTATAAAAATAATTAACATGATTTTTTGCTGATGGTGTTTGTGTTTTGCCATCTTCTTCATTTGGTTGGGTATTATTTATGGTGAGATTAACTGGGGGAAAGAAAGGGTAAACATACTTTTAGCAATTATACTGTACTGATGTGAATAGTTCAGACTTACCTTATCTGCTACTCTCTCTACAACTTGTTTTATTTTTCTCACCATCATATCATCAGCTTTCTTTATCAGATTATTTAATGTTTGACCTTGTGTCTTGTGTTCTCCATTAGATACTTCCACAGCTTTCTTTATTTCGTGAAAATTTAACGTTTCTGGTAAGGGTTTTAAAGCTCTTCGTACTTGTTCGATATTGTTGATTGTAATACACAGCTGTAAAGGAATATTTTGAACTTAAATATCAAGAAAAACTAAACATTTATACCCAACACACCACAATTCACAGAACAAAGTTTACTACCTCTCTTTAAGGTATAACAACTTTCGAACTGTGTAAACTTCAATACTTCTCACTAACACTAGGTTGGAACACTGTCTTTTTGTGGCAGTAGAATAGCTCAGGGTGCTGTGCTGTGCTCAAGGTAAGATGCCAGTCAGTGCTTCAAAAAATCCATGTCAGCTTTGAACCACTGAATCCAGTTTTGTTTGACCAAACCTAGATAGAATATAGTTGTAAAATACTGACCTGTTCTGTGACATCAAACTGACCCTCTTCATCATAATAACCAGCTTTTATTAACTTCTCATGTACTAAATCAGCATACAGTTCAGCTCCTTCACAGATATCCTATAACAACATTCATACATCAATATCAAAACAATACTATTGATAATCCCTTTCTTCTTCAACAATATATTATTTCAGTACACTTTATCACATTAAAAAGATAGCTTGCCAGGGAAGGTAGCATACACCCACTACCAGCTGTCAGAAATGATAACAAAATCTTTAGTGGCTTAATAATGAATTAAAAATAATCTTAAAATCATCTATAAGTCAAATATGAACAATATCTCATCGCTGTACACACAAGGGCATTAACTCTGAAACTGTTCATCTGATTATTACCAATAATCACATCAATATATACATACATACCAAGTTTTATCAATATTGGATAAAAACTGTAGCCTCTACGCGCAAGAAATGTGAACGGACCGACAGGCACAGGGGTGACGGCAATATACGTCCACATTCCCATGTAGGTGTATAAAAACATTCTTGTATATAGACCGAAACATCTGCCTATGTTTTATGGGGATTTTGTCGCACTTTTAAAGGTGTATCATAGTACAGTTTGATATTGAGATATCATAATTTCTTCACAGAATGAATTTTAAACTCTATTTTTACTAGTACCTACTGATAAACAATGTACCACCAGAATGCTCACTTTTGTGTCCTCTACTTATTCATTGTACTTGACTGTTTTTGTTAACAGAGCTATTAACTTTCCTATATTTATAGCAATTACATATCTGATAGTGACGTAAGACAATAACTCTCTATCATTCCAGGATTATTAACAGAAAGTATAAAAGCTAAGACTAAAACATTTATAAATCTTTTTAGAAATGATGTCTTATATCTACGCGAATATTAGGTTTATATATTATAGTCTTGGCTTCAATATTGTATGAATAATCCTGGAATGAAAAGGATCATCACACCTGATATATGATAAGACAATTGTTTCAGTCGAATTTGTCCAAATTGTTAAACAATTCTTCTGCAACTCACCTCTGTTAATTTAAGTACAAATGGAAATGCACCAACATAATCTGGCCACGACAACTGTTTCCAAAAATCTGTGATCTGAAAATGAAGAATAAAACACTGACATTCTCTTCTCTTTGTGGAAATTTACTTGTATCACACATTTTCTTCTCACATGTAACTGCTATGCAAACTCAAAATGCTACAAATTTTTCTTTTCAAGTAAAAGTTAGCAATTCAGTCAATTTATTCAATTCTTAACTTAACCTGTAATACTGCACAGCACCTTAGACATTTGGATAAGTAACATATAAGTATATTGATATACTGATATATCGATTATGTAAACTGTTTTCTGTTTTTGAACCAAATTAGCTTACCTGTACAAAACAACAACAAACATCTACAGCAGACGTACTATATTTAACTGACATGTCCATCTGGGCTACCTACAAATATTACAGTTTTAATAGCTCATAAATATAGTCGTCTACATTATACATGTTCAAAAAAATTTGTTATCTTTTTGTCAGTGATGCAAGTTGATAGAACAAAAATGCAAGGCACAATGGGTTCCAGTTTGTACATATGTTAATCAGTTATTCAAGTTTTTGTTGCAGTTTTTATAATATTTTCCTCATTACACTAAACAGTAAACATTCATATTGATAATTCATGTTGTCCATTTATAAAAAACTTACTTTATCTAATTCTACAGCTTTTCTGATTCGTTTAAATGATTTCTGTCTGGCAATACACAACCATCTACTGACAGCACATCTAAACCATTCAAAATACTGACTGATATTCAACCCATGACGATCTCTAGAAATATAAACATTATACTATATCTATCTATCTATCTATCTATCTATCTATCTATCTGATAAACATTCTACTTATATTTTTATTCAAACCATGAAAATCTTTAAGAATATAAACATTTATTTTATCTATCTCTGATAAACTTTCTTTCTACTTCCAAATATCTGTAAATTGATTAACAAATGCCAAACAGAACATTGTTTACAGTCTCACATTAAAACAGTTATTACAACTTTATAGGTTCCTCTGAAGAGAAAGTCACTATAGTCTAAGCTGGCTCTGCTTTGTTAAAGCAGAGACATCAAATTTCGATTCTGAAATGTGCTTTAGATAGCCCATTATGAGCTATGGTAAATATTGTCATAACTTACTTATGTGGTAGATGTGAACTGTACTTAGTAAATTCTTGTATAGCTAAATATAGTTCAAATAAAGATGTACCAGAAGCATTAGCATCATCAAGTTCATTAGGTAGAATTTCTTTATCACATCCAGACTTTTTCAATATTGTCTTTAAATCTTGGTGAAGCTCATCACCTAACTAAAAATAGAATGTAATAGATAAGTATAAAGGAGCACCTGTTTACCAACATCAATATCAGCAATAATGATAAATACTTTTTTATATTAACATATACAATTTAATAGTATAAATATAGCAGTATTAGGCAATATTAATCGAATTTCTGTGAAATTTCCTGAAATAATGTGAAAAATATTTGAATTCTAGCAAAGTCTTGATAACAGTAAAATATATGGGTAAATATTAGACATGAGGCCCATCTCTTCCAGTATTCTCATGCTCATCCTCTATATGGCTGGCCTTGAAACTGTACATAGTTCCAATGTATCCAAGGAGTGTGTATACCTCCACTAATGCAGTCACTAATGCAAACAAGTTATATAAACCCATCTTATATACCCATATATATATACATGGTAAATTAGTAGGTTTTAAGTGCCTGTGCTTATTTTCATGTGCATAGTTTTATCATACCATTACCTAAATATGTGGCCAAAGAATAAATCACATTGAAAATTCTACAAAAATAATATTCAAGCAGTGGTGAAAACAAATAATATAAAATTTGTATTTGACTATACTATGCATGCAGTGTTTTTGGGATTACACATTTGTCCTTTAATAGTCACATAAAACAAAATATGGTAAAACCATTTCCTTATATATAGTTAGATCTTTCACATTTGAAATTGTGCATAACAATCAAGCAGTTTAAAATAAAAACAAATATCGTGGACTCTCCGAAAAAGGAGATGCAGTTGTGATAAGGCTCAGTCATAGTGTCCTGAAAATTGTCCTGCCAACACCAGAACCAATACTATTTTAATAATGGCCTTTAGACTGACCCTAACTCTTCAACTGTGCTGAACTGTTGGTAATATTATAAGACAGAGACAGAGAGAGAAAGTTAAGTAAGTGAAATTGAGTGAGTAGTGAGTGATTCACAACATTTTAAACCAAATAAGTGATGGAAGGTTTTTCTTTAGAAACACAAACCTCATCCTCCAAGGCTTTACCAACATCTCCTGCAAACTATAGTGAGTTTTTAATTAATAAATGGTATTTTCATAAATGAATATTCATACAGAATAATTTCATTAATAAATGGAAGGAATTTATTTCCATATAAATTGATACACTAAGACTTCTAAAGTATTAAAATTAAAACATTGAAAGTTTATCCACATAAATATCAAAGATGCCTCTACACATGGTTGTTTTCTCCTTTCTAATAAGATTTTTTATGCTTTGTTAGATCAGGAGATGGACAAAAAGTAAAACTGAACTGTAAGTAAAATGTTGTCGGGAAAATAACTTAAGGTTTTTCAACCTGGTTTCCCTTGTCAGTGATACAGGTAAGAGGGGCTGACATGGTAAAAGTCATGTGACTATGCACGTTAAAGATCCCTTGACAGTTGGAAATCGATAAAAAGCAGGCTTATTATGCCGCTGTCCTAGAAAAATTTCCCTCATTGCACCCTGCATGGCATTGCCTTCATTAGCCCACATGGTACAGAAAAGCAGGACATATAACTCCACTCATTTCATTTCATTATAATTGTCAAGATTATCATTTGACATGATGTATAATTAGATCTATTGTATAATTAGACTTATTCATAAATAATGTATAGTCCATTAGAGATATTTTAGCTCATCTGAGTATGATTCATAACAACCACATGAATAAAAATCTTTGAATAATACTCAGATGAACACACAAATCTTTGCTAGTGTTTCTTGACAACAATGTACAAAATTTTATTAAAGCTCAAAAAAGGTTGCATGTAAAATATCTTTATCTTGCTATATTAAGAACTATATTCCTATAAAGACTACAAGAAGCATGAAACAGTTTGTATAGCACTAAGAAATGATTATACAGAATCATGCTGGGAAGGGTTTAGCTACTATCACATTTTGAGAAAAAACTATAAGGCTAGAGCATCTTGTACTCAGTATAAAACAAACTGTCATTGTATGTTAAGACAATTTGTAAATGATGTATGAATACTTACTAGTTTATCAAGATGACGATAAACAATATGAAAATAATCAACACTGACATGCCTGAAAACAATACAATAATGTATAAATAAGAAATCAATCAATTGTTTTTCCAGTTTCAAGAATTAGAATTGGATTGCCAATTGATCATTTCCCACAGACATAACAGAAAAGTTTTTAGAATACTTTATTGTAATAATGTAAAGCTATGTGTATCATATAATATCACTAACTCTTGGAATATTTTATTGTAATAATGTAAAGCTATGTGTATAATATAATATCACTTACTCTTGGAATACTTTATTGTAATAATGTAAAGCCATGTGTATAATATAATATCACTTACTCTTGGAATACTTTATTGTAATAATGTAAAGCCATGTGTATAATATAATATCACTTACTCTTGGAATACTTTATTGTAATAATGTAAAGCCATGTGTATAATATAATATCACTTACTCTTGGAATACTTTATTGTAATAATATAAAGCCATGTGTATAATATAATATCACTAACCCTAGGAATACTTTATTGTAATAATGTAAAGCTATGTGTATAATATAATATCACTTACTCTTGGAATACTTTATTGTAATAATATAAAGCCATGTGTATAATATAATATCACTAACCCTAGGAATACTTTATTGTAATAATGTAAAGCCATGTGTATAATATAATATCACTTACTCTTGGAATACTTTATTGTAATAATGTAAAGCCATGTGTATAATATAATATCACTAACCCTAGGAATACTTTATTATAATAATGTAAAGCCATGTGTATAATATAATATCACTAACCCTAGGAATACTTTATTGTAATAATGTAAAGCTATGTGTATAATATAATATCACTTACTCTTGGAATACTTTATTGTAATAATATAAAGCCATGTGTATAATATAATATCACTAACCCTAGGAATACTTTATTGTAATAATGTAAAGCCGTGCGTATCATATAATATCACTTACTCTTGGAATACTTTATTGTTATAATGTAAAGCCATGTGTATCATATATCACTTACTCTTGGAATACTTTATTGTAATAATGTAAAGCCATGCGTATCATATATATCACTTACTCTTGGAATACTTCATTGTTATAATGTAAAGCCATGTGTATCATATAATATCACTTACTCTTGGAATACTTTATTGTAATAATGTAAAGCCATGTGTATGTCAGAATTCAATGTATTGGTTAAATCTAGTAAGCTCTGAAGGTTATCATCTTCTCTCTGAAATATAATATAAAACTACTTATACAGAAGTCTGTCAAGTAATAAAAATTTTAGTTATACTGAAAAGTTCTAAGTCTAACTGTGGAAGATTCGTACCAAGTCAAGTTTCATTCATTAAAAAAAAAAAAAATTAGATTAGGAATTAATTTCAGAAACCTCTTGTATTTCATCCAATTGAAATCATAAACAAGCGACGTTCAAACACCCTAAAAAAGCTTGGAAATGATGAAATCATTACTCAGATACTGGCAACCATCTAGCTCCTTTTTTATTTTGGGACACCCGATTAATCTATGTAAAAGATATGGAGTCAGTTTAAGTGTTTGTTGCAGGTGCAGGATTATAGATACAGCTTCTTTTATTTTCTATGGTGCAGAAAAGTAGGACATAAAACTCCATTCATTTCATTTCATTTCATTTCTTTTATTTTCTACTGTATCAATAATCTCACACCATACTGGACACCTTACTTATCTATTCACACATTTTAGACATTGGTATTAACATTGATTAGTACAAGTAGTGTTAAAACAGAAATTCATATTTAAGAAAAGTTAATTTTGTTATTACCTTAGCTTGTGACCTACATGTAGTAGCTTGTCTTTCATACCATTCTAAGGTTCCTTTCTGTAAAACATGATATATATAATAAATATAACAGAACAACAGTGAAGCACAAGTTGAGTGAATTGTCTCACATTTCCTCTTCACAGAAAATCTTTTTGTTGCATCGCATTTAATTACTTAAGCAAAAGAATACAAAACAAAAATGACCTTTAACCTCAAAATTGTCAATTTAATTATATTTGTACTGCTTTAACTAAGTTGATATAATCTAATTCAAAATAAATAACTCCAATCACAAAAGGTTATAAAGTATTTAAAGAAAGTTTTACCTTTATAACATGTGTAATTTCTGGATGCAAATCTTTTATAAATGGACAACATTTCTTAAAAACTTTCATATCATAAATCTTTACTAAACATCTGAAAAATCATTAATGTATAATTTCATATTCAACAAATGAATATTGAGAGTCAATTATAGAAACAACTTGTGTAGTATCTTTGGGGTGATTCAATTAGGTAAATCATTCTGAATAAATCAAGACTACCAAATGATATGTCCTTAAACAAAATATGATATGTTTGAAAGCTAGTTGTTGGTTATTCCTGTCAGTATTTCCTTCATTGCGCACAGCATGATGTTACGCCTCTTCATTAAACCATTAAATGCAGAAAAGTAGGTCATTCACTATATTAAAGTCACAGTTAAAAATTCAGGTTTTTACCACTAACCTTAACATGCCTTCTAAACGTACAAAAGCTGCTTTATTTGAGGGTGGAAAAATCTCACGATGGCGTCTTAATAAATTTAAACTATATTCGATGAAAATATTAAAAGATTCTGCTAAACATTCCTCCTGTAAAGAAATGAACGCATGATTAATATAAACAATACCTTTTAAAAAGATTGAAGTTAATTTAAGTTTTGTTTTTAGAATAAAACAAAGGTGATCCATGCTAGTCAGTTATACTTTACTTTGATCTCAGCCAAAAGGTTAATTCATTTTGTTTCTAACATATGAATTTAGTTTCAGATACTTCACTGATATCTTCTACATCATATACATTGTTTTATATATTGTTTCAAGTGGTGATAAATAGTGAATTTATAATGCAGAAAGAAAGGTGTTATTGAGAGCTTGTAAGACAGAAATTGTACAATATCATCTGTTTTATTAAGAACTTGCCAGGCAAAGTAATATACGCCCACTGGCAGCTTTGATTTTGAATAAAAGTATTTAGCAGTACAGTAACAATCACCAGTATGAAATATTCATCCTTCAGTCATAGAAGGTTTTTCAAGAACAAGGGCAATAACTTATACTAAATATTTTTCGATTCTTCTGATTTTCAATAGGGTTCATCCTTGGGTGATTACGAACACTCATACCAAGTTTTGTCAAATCTGTCAAGAATTGTGTCTAGTAGAGTGTTTACGAACAATTGCTGACGGACAGACGGACATGGGTGACAGCAATATACGCCCCCATTTCATGTGGGCGTATAAAAATTCAATCATTTTCTGTCAGTATATGTAATACTTGATGCAGAGATTGAAAATAAAATCAATGTTCATCAAGAAAATAAATTTTTGTTTTCCAAGAAAATAAATTTATGTTCACCAAGAAAATAAATCTATGTTCACCAAGAAAATAAAATCTATGTTCACCAAGAAAATAAAATCTATATTCACCAAGAAAATAAAATCTATATTCACCAAGAAAATAAATCTATGTTCACCAAGAAAATAAATTTATGTTCACCAAGAAAATAAATCTATGTTCACCAAGAAAATAAAATCTATATTCACCAAGAAAATAAAATCTATATTCACCAAGAAAATAAAATCTATGTTCACCAAGAAAATAAAATCACACCTGTATATTCTAATGTACTAATAATTAGCTCTTGTGAAAATACAGACTCATATATCAGTAAAGTTTTCCTTTGATTTGTCAGTAAAGACAGTTTTCTCAGGAATACATGTATCTCTATGACATGTGGCAGACGCCTCATCATGTCAATGAATGTCTTTGAGTTTTAATTAACCAGCCTGCATAGACTATGAGGACACAATATGTAACTTCTTTGATTTTTTCAGTCAAAGAAAATACTGATATCTTGTAATGAAACAACGACCTGAACTCTATAGTTATCTGGTCTTTCACTAGAAATGATAACTTAACAAAATATATCTAAATAATTGTTTAAGCCTTGTTTCACAGATAATTAGCTGAGAAAACATTCAGACTTTAGAGATTCAGTGATCAGATTAAATTTGATATCAGTGACAGAACAGTACATAAATATTATTATAAAGTAATGATTGGACACAAGAAGTCATCTGATAAGTAAACTGAGATCAAGTGTCAACGTGAACGTGTTAATGTGATGCCCAAATATTTACAAGCAGTTTGCAATAAAGGATACAATGAACATGAACACATAGATCTGTTTTATTCTATAATTTCTACTTGACCCACAATCAATGCTGATTGGAATTAAATAGAAAAGGCAAATGAAGTCATATAACCAGCCATGACATACCCATAATGCTACAACATTTGTGCATTTTGTCTTTTATCTAAAAACATCAAACTAGAAACGAACTTGGAAATATAAATTAAGTTTAAATTATTTGATTGTGTCTTCAAACTATAGTGCAAAATTTGGCTAAAATTATAGAAAGCATAACCTAAACTAGTTTCAATGTGTTCAAATGGTGATCAAGTTGCATGAGAAAAAAATTTAGTGTTGTTTAATACACAAGTGAAAATATCCTTAAATATTCTGATCGTGGCTAATATTGTAAAAAAAAAACATTACCGTTGAGCCATAAAACTGAAAAATTAGCATAAAAGAAAATATAGCTCTACTCTAAAAATATGGGGAAGCAACATACCATTATGCATAGTAATAATACCGCCTAATTATAGATTAGTACTAACAAGAATCTTCTAATTATTCAAAAAAGAAATGGCTTGAAGAATGTCCAATAATCCACTGGTAAAACGGTTAACTTTTGAACCAAGACTCATATTGAACAACCTGAACCTTATCACTTCAGGACCGGTTTAGCCCACATATTTCAACCTCTTTTAGCCCAATGAAGAGCAGAAAGTAACATAGCACTCATAAATCATCCTGTTCAATTTAGCAGTTATTTTGGAACATTCTTAAGCAAAGTAGAAAATCTAATTTACTTACTTCTTCTCTAGATAATGTGCCAGGTTTCCAAATTTTATCCAATTCAAACAATAATTTTAATAATAACTCATAATCTAGGGAATATTCTGTATGTTTTCTACTGTAAGCCATCCAACGACTGAAATATTAACGTGTAATGAATATGTAATTACATAAAGGAGCATTTGAAAATATAGATATCTATTTCTTACATTCACAAGATGTTTCTCTTGCTACTCAATATAGTTAATATTGTATTGTTTTTAAACAGAAACATTTCTATGGATGGCTCATAAACATTCAACATTCAAGCAATTTAACATTTAACAACTACCAAGGAAAGTGAAATTTAAATTCCAACTGACATTTCATGTGTATCTATCCCTGTGGAAGGAGCCATTGTGTTCTTGAAAAAGTTAAGTAGATCATATTTTTTGATTGTTTAACCATTTATTGTGCCTTAGGGCAAAGTTAAAAACTTTGTGAATCAAATTGTGTCTTTGGTTTTATTGCACATTTCCATGTGGGTGTATAAAATTAGATTTGGTGAAAATTCAAAATAGAAATATAGAATAAATAACTAACCACATGGCTCTTTGAACATCAGTTATATCACCCTGGATAGCGTGTTGGTGTAGAATAGTTTTAGCTGCTTGAGGTAATTCACCATTCCATAAATAGGACGCAGTCTACAATAGAACACAGTTTAATCAATAAAGGTTTTACTATTGTGACAGGAAACGTTCTACTGTTTCAATAGAGCTCTAAATATCAAAACATTAACTGAAATTTAAAATGAAACATGAACATTTTGCATAAAATCAGCGTCAAAGCGTGTTCCTTAAGCTTGTTTAAAGGACATCACGTCAATGGTACAATCAAAAACATTCATTGATACAAAAAATTGCTGGAAGATTCAACAAATAATTAACATATTTGAGCTGATATGAGCAAATGCTTGCTCCGAACTTTCTTTCCCTTTATTCATTGCTTACTAGAGACTTCAAGTTGAAACTCAAATAAATTCAGTAATATTATTTAATAAGAATAGTGTCCCTTCAGCCCAAGCAAACAGAATTAATCCCAAAGATAATCATAGCAGGTAGATTTATTTCATCAGAATGTTTTATTTTAGATCACTGGGAATAATGTTTTAGGTAATTGAGGGCTCTAATTCTCAAAAAGATTTTCAAGGGAGGGTCTCAGATTGTTGAAAAGAACACTTACAGGCTTTACAGCCAAATTACATCATAATTTGAAATAGAATATCAAACTAGTTTGGAATCATCGCAAATGTATTTTCCAAGAAAATATTTAAAATTGAATTGTGGTGGTTGACCAGAGTTTTCAAAGATTTGAAATGCCCACTCCACCTCGACACAAATTTGAGCAGCAGCTCAAATTGACTTCTGGTGATGGGGCTGAATCCCTTGTTGCGTTATCAAAGGCTAGACTTGAAGGATAACGATAATCTAACCTTGGAATTTCGTATTTCATGTTCAATCATAATTCTCATCAAATCTTCATGTTGTAAAATATCAGTCCAGTTATCATCTTCTGGTATCCCACGATCCTCTCTTGTTGCTAGGTTACACTTTAAATGTATTTCACCTTGAATATTTGACCTTGCAGAACGACCTTCAAGTTTATACCATTTATCGTGCCCAATAGATGGAATATCCTATAATGAAAATTGAAATTTATACACTTAATAGACCTCAAAACTATATACGACCAATTGATAATACATCTAGGTATAGTTTGAAACTTGCTGACTGTGTATCTAGTCTCTGATAGTTATTATTGACAGTCAGAGAGAAGATCCATGAAAAAGTAATTTCACGCAATATTAATGATATTTTTATAAAGTTCTGCGTTACAAATTTATATGCAGAAAACTGATGTATGTAGAAGACAAAACCATATACTATTGATATTTCTGAATGTCAATAAGGACTGTCCTTCAGGGACTTCAATATATTACCCTCAGAATAGTAGAGCACTTAGCACTTTCATGTCGTGTCATTTATTTTTTTATGGACATATATACAATATTGAAACGTCATCAAAGAATTAAAAAAAAATACTTCCACTACATTATTTTGTACAGGAAATGCTGTTGAAGGTTTGTTGATATAATAAAAGAGAATACTGATAAATCAATATGATAATTATGCAATATCAACTCTCAATATATATATCACTATATTTCTACATCATAAAGTTCTAATATGACACATTCGTTGAATATCAATATGACTTGTTGAAATGTGTAATAACAGATTATTATAGTCCATTATAGTATTATTATACAGCTATGAATCAGAATTATTGCTTTTAACGGATATTACAGTTCCTTAATTCACTTTTATTACCAAATTTCATCATATAGAATCAAGTGTCCACAACCATGTCGGTATGAATTGATATTACTGTCCTTTTATTTTTAGTAAATACATCCAAAGAAGAATTATCAACACTCGTTGACAGATGTCTTGACCATTATTTTATTAATCAATATACAAGTATATAGAGTTTCAGTAAAATCATTTGAAAAATTCTGCATCATTTGTGAACAGATAGATAAGATCACATTTCAAAGGTATCCATAAATCCTACATTAATATATATATGAGAATGCAAAAATCCACAAAAGTGGCTATCAACATCATAGTCAGTCATTCTCAGGCTCTAATCAGACTTGATTGGCAAATACAGTCAATATTAACAGCTCTTATAATATGACATGTTGGTATAGTTCATTAATAGATTATCTTTTTCCATTATAGCATTAGTCTGAAGCTTTGAATCTGTTTTCTCTCACTTACAGAAATTCATCAACATGCTTTAATGAGAAAATCTGTTAAAGTTCAGGAAATGTAAAAATCAAAGAATATAGCTGTCTAGGTATCATATCTCAAAGATGAAAGACCTTCAACAGTCAATTGTTTACATCCTCGAAGAGATAAGACAGGAATCACCCTACTTTCAATTCCAATAGACCTACTCAAAATTCAATCCTTATTTATTTACAAACCAACTGTTCTGATGTATTTTGATAATTTATCTATGGCAATCATTTTCAAATACGGTAATTGTGGATAAATTAGAAGTCGGTTTCTTTTTGGAAAGTGTCACCAAAGAGAGAGAAAGTTTCAAAAGATTTACTTACATCAAACTGTATATTGACACAACCTAGAAAATCATCAACATTAGTATCATCTTTAGTTCTAGCAGATTGAGCCACTTGTTTAAAAAATCTCCCTAATCCTTTAATTCCAGATACTTCATTCAATCTTTTAGCAGCATCTACTACTGAAAACTCATCATCATGGTCCCTGTAGTAAATATAATTAAACTTATACGTAACATTATAATCTTTAGATAATAAATATACCAAATAAACAATACACATATATAAGCATATCTTAAATGATGTTCAACTGACAACTACAGGACCTTGAACATCAATTTTCTTAGTTGTAATTCTTCCAAGGTCTCTTGCAGCTTGAGACTCAACTTTCTCATTTTCTGGATTCATATTGACCCTATGTTGGTTTGAAGGTCTCTCTCTGCTTGATAATCCAATACCTTTGGATGTTTGACATGCAAAAGAAACACAATAAGGCACACCATGATATATGGTTGTCTATGTCCAATAATTATCAGTTCAACTTTTTGACCAACCCTCATAATATTTACACCATCCTAGTAATCTGATGACTTTCAGATAGACGCTTTGAAGATTCCCCCCTGCCCCAAATATTTTTTTATAAATGATACTTACCATATATCAAGATGAAGTCTATCTGTATGAACATCATCTAAATCACTGTAAATATATTTACATAATAGGTAATACTTTTGAAATTTTGTGACATATAGATCTATAGTAGGTTTTTGTATTGAATATAATAGTGCAATTCTGGGGACTGGGGAACTGAGTGATAGATCGTTCTTTCTTCTAGCTTATAGAACTTGATCCCAATTACTTTTAATATTGCAGACAAACATCAAGTCAGTATTTTTTTAATTCTAATAGGTGAAACAAGTCACAAGGAAGTGATTAATTCAAGGACCATATTCCTGCAATCGATTCCCAATGTTAATCCATCTTGTTTTATTATTATGTAGTTATTAATTTCAAGTGAAAGCCCTGAACTATGTAAAAAGATTGAACACAAATGGACAAAGACATAAGTCAAGAAGCCTTACAGTCAAGATAGGCCTACAGGGTTTTGCTTGATCATATATATCAAGTTCTTTTGTTTGTACAAAAACAATTTTTCTCAATAATTTTAATATATCAATCAATATATACCCAGTGCTCTTACATTAAATTATTTTCAAAGTATGAGAACTTACAATCTGAATTTTTCATTCCATAAAGGATTTAAAGTGTTAGGTTTTACTGATGTAGTTCGGATTAACTTGGCTGGCACTAAATCTCGAACGGCTTGAGCTTTATCCTTCTTCTTCTTTAAACTAGAAGAGAATTTCTTTAATCCCATTCTATCTTTCTCCTTTGGTTTACTAAATTCATCATCTGAGGAGAAGAAGGCTGTGGGATCTTCTGTATTTCTGGCAGGCATAATACCCATCATACAATATGGATCACTGAATCCTACAAAAATCGTCAAATTTAATTAGAGGAAAGTTGAAAAAAATGAGATGCAAATAAATTTAAAAAAATTTTTATCTATAGGAGAAAAGAAGGGTCAATACTGATAAGAGGAATTTTTTTATTCAAAATCTCATATTTGTATGCACTGTCCATTATGCATTTACTAAAGTCTGTATTATAAATAAATTACATGGTACCATTCAACACTACAAATAGGAAGAAAAAGTCACTAAGCTGATGATCTGAAATACCAAGTAATAATTCTTAAAAATACCCCAGAGTTTAGAAATGCCTGTTGTTCCACATGGAATGACACAACTGCAGCTGTGATCAATATTAAAAGACAGAAAAGAAAACCTACCATCAGCATCTTTGGCCTCTAAACCACGAGCTTCTACAACGGTCAGGTTAAGTATAACAATAGGTGGCTGAAAAAATAGACATTAACAAGCAAACTTACTTCGACACAAACATTTTTGTATCACTAAATCAGTATTACAAAATACAGAATATCTTTATAAGGAATTTGAAACACACTTCTGTTCTGCAGGTCAGAGGAACTGACATGAAAAAGCATCTAGGGAAATTGGGTAAACAAAATTTCCTACGCTATGTTTACTCAATCTGATTAAAATACAGATCTGGATAATTTGTTTTCTCACTTGTCATTTATAATCCAATAAAAATTTTATTTAAATAGTGTTCAGTGGAATTTTGATCAAATAGTATCAATAATTTTTTGGGTAAAAGGGTATTGTAACAGACTGCTGTCTCAGAAAACTTGTAAACTGACCATCTTTAGTCGCTCAATAAGGCACAGAGTAGTTGAACTATTATTGTATTATTAATTCATTACAAATCTATTTACCACCATCTGAATTCTAAATAGTTTTCGATAATCCTAATCGCACATTCTGGAACATTATAATCTTTTATTTTCATATTAAATCATCTATTCATAATAATCATAATGCCGCAAATGATCAAAAAAGAGAGATAATATAAAACTAATGACATTGTTTTATGGTAACTAGTTGTAAATCGGTCAATGGTCTTTTTATAGATTACTATAGTGTTTTATTGTCCGGGAAATCCATTAATGGAATTCCACGCTATTATTTCTACTTGGTCTAATTCTTTTACTATACCACACATACAGTAACTACTAGATATCTAATAGTATGGAACATTTCAATGTCAAAAGCATTAAGCCAACTGATGACAAGACTAATACCAAACATTTAGAACCTGTGAAAGAATAAGTTTGTGTCAGCTTTTACTACAGCATCTCAAGATCTGAAAACAAGACTCAAAACTTTGCAAGTATGGATGACCCTTTCGTTATCCACTTTAGCTTCATAATTATTGGATATTCCAAGCTTAACAGTATTTTCAGACATTATGATTGTTGAATCAATATTAATTTCTAAAAGACCAGTACCGGTACTAGAACTTCAGACAACTTCAGATCTAATATAGTAGGCAAATATAGTAGCCATAAAGTTGTTTGTATTCTTCAGACAACTTCAGATCTAATATAGTAGCCATAAAGTTGTTTGTATTCTTCAGACAACTTCAGATCTAATATAGTAGCCATAAAGTTGTTTGTATTCTTCAGACAACTTCAGATCTAATATAGTAGCCATAAAGTTGTTTGTATTCTTCAGGATCTTTAATTTCAAGCAATTTAGTTGAGCTGCTTCAAATTACACATTCAGGAAAAACTTTCATAGCAAGATACTAGTAGAGTAAATTCCAATACTTCAGCTTAATTAAAGCAAAATTCTCAAAAATTCCACAACCACAGCTTATTTCAATAAAACCAAACCAATACGCAAGTCCCATCCCTCAAACAAAAATCAAATTCAGATGTTTCCGATAGAAGCAGGAATAAAAACTGGAAAGATGTTAAAATTCTGGTTTTTGATCTAATTTAAGCAAAGACCATGATTACCAGCTAGATATTTCAGTCTTTGAGTATGCATCAGAACCATTCATTTCCAACCATCAGCATCCCCATTGCTTACAGGGCAATTATATAATACTCACTACTCACCTTTTCTTCTGTAGCTTTAGCAAGAAGTCTGGCATGATCTTCAGGTGATACACCAAAAGCATACTGAGCATATTGGTATAAATCTTGTATATATGGTGTATGGGTACCACTAGTTGTACCTATCTTATGTTTTATAGTGTATAACACTTCAATATACAGCAGTTCAAACTGAAACAAATTTTACAATTATAACATTTTATACATTTTCGTCTGATGGTGTTAATAAGCTACTACTCTACATCTTTTTGAGCTTATCAGGATCACTTATGATCAAGATGAAGTGTGCAATAAGGGCTATTCATGTGCAGCTTGTCTTTCTCTTTTTTTTTGACACATAAGAACTTTTGATTTATCTCCCCATGCAAAAGTTCCATGCTAAGTAAGTTAGAAAAACGTTTGTTAGAAACTCTGAAGTAACATATTGTTCGATGCTAATATTGATAGCATATAATAAATAAAGACAAGCTTTCTTTCCAATCCCACCATTAGTTTTAGATAAGTAAATAGAAACTGTGAGTTTTGAAAGGTCAAGCAATATACATTAGGAATGTTTTAAGATATATTATTTTAGTAAGCATAATCAGACAGTCATGTACTCACCTCTTTCTTAGTTAATTTGTGACGTTTTGGTTTGGCACCAACTTGATTCTCTGGAGGTGGTTCTTTTTCAGCATCCTTTTCAGCCTGAAATGGAACACAAAGATTCAATCATACTAAAATAGTGTTTAATCACCATAAATTGAGAAGTCATGTTTAGAAAGCCAATCATAAATTGCTGACATTGTCCATTATGTTTCAGTCTATTTTTATCTATTTCAAGAATGATGATCATGACCTCAATATGATAAATCAGTAGGCCTACGCAGAGAATTGCTGCAAATAAGCCTAGCATTAGCTACTCAATAATATTCTTGGGGGTTTGAGTTTTGAATATATGTAAATTGTCTTCAGAAGTGCTATAAATTTACGAAAATAGCATAATTCCTTTAACAAAACTTCAAACTAGGAATTTCACTTTCTATTTCTATAGGCCTATATATGTCTTCTCAGGGTATCTTAAATCAAAAAGTCTCCATCTTAATATTCAAACGTGGATAATTCTTGACACACATGGATTTGAAGGCTCAAATTCCGACAGTGTGCTGTGAACACTATTAGACTATACTGATCGGCTAAGCTAAAAAAATTCACATTTCTGAGACTAAAATATGATTGATACACATTAGGCTAGAAATAATCTCACCCCTACATAGAATGATTATTGACAACTCAAGTTAAGTATGGAGCACATGTATGATATTGATTATTGTTATGCTAAGTTATTGAATAACTGAATAAGCCTGAATGACATAGCCTAAGCCTAGAAACTAGTCTTACAGATCAAAGCCATTCATCAAGGTCGTCATAAGCCGAAATCAGAAAATCAGCAAATCATCTATTAGCTATAACTCTTCCCTCCCCTCCAATGTGGTCTCATAAATATCCGTTGTTTAGTTTGCTGAATTAAAAATTCATACACGATCGACTGCAAGTTCTTCTACTTTCGGTTTCGTTTCAATTCCCGCCATATTCTATTTCCGGTTCCAGAAAACCTAAAGAGTTCTCTTTTGACAGTACGTTATTCTACGTCTTTCGGTACAGAGGGTTTTATACAAGATGCAATGAGTGATCTTGGCATAATGAATTGTTGAAACACAACCTAGCAACAACAAGTGACAAGAGCAGAGCAGAGTTGAACCGATAAAAGCATTCG